GTTATTCTTGGGGTTTGGGGGGGATTGCGGTGGTGATTGCGGTGGCGATGCTGGGGAGGGGGTAGCAAGAGGGTGGATGGGGTTGCTGGGGTTGGGATTGGGGGTGGGGGTTGGATTGGGGGGGGGGTTGGTGATGATGGAGGATCCAGGGTGATGGCTGGAATGGCTGGAATGGCATTGGCATCGGCATCGGCATCGGCATCCCATGGATCAGGGAATGGATCCTCGTCCGGAGTTAGTGCGGGGGGGAGGAGAGCATCGAGATCCTCCAGGGTTAGCATTGCCGGTGGGAGGAGGAGGAGGTCGAGTGCCTCATAGCCCCCCTCCGGCATCGGCATCGGGTCGGGATTTGGTTCCTGCATTGCGGATTGATGGATGGCGATGGTGGGTGGCCCGAGTGCTTGTTGAGATAGCAGTTCTGTAGAGAACGGATCAGGGCGAGATCTATATAAGGGCTTTGTGGAAAGAGCTTTGATGTCCATGTGGGCTTTGTTACTTGCGGGTATACAGGAAGTCGCCCTTCCGGTGAAGGAATCTACGGATGATCTGTGCGATGTTGAATGATCGATGTGCTAAGCTTTGATGTGAGGATGGATGTACAAAGAATTAATTGCAAAGGGGCCATACAATATGCTACAGAGACAAAGGCATTCGATTACTTGGACACATCTGGTACAGGGACAAGATAGACAGACGTCTGTTAACTTACTTGGTATCCTGTTTTTTGGCTTGGGTTGCGCTGGCAAGTGCTAAGTCGCGTACCAACAGAAACACTGAGCAAGCTTCTTAAGTTCTACCTTTCTGAGCTCAACTATCGTACTTCCAAATTGAGTCCGTTCAATATATCAATAAAGTATATACACTAAAGCTAACTAGGTAATAAGTAATCCTGTCATAAACTTTTCCAAATCATCCTGTGATCTGTCAAGTCAGAATCCGGCTATATACAGTAAAACATGCATAACAAGTCGTTAAGAGGAGAATCCACCACAATCAGATCATCCCACCCAGCTCCATTCGGCGACCCGGCGACCATCGCGACGAAATCACCTCCGGTGCAGGTTTCACCGGCAGCGGTTTATTGCCCGACAGCTCGTTGCGTTCCCACTCCGAGTCGCTTTCCCCGGGCACACCGACTGTCTCCGGCCGAGAAGATTCGCTCGACGACAACCCGCCACCTGGCCGCATACGTCGGAAATCCTGTAGATCAGAGATCGGAATCGGGTAGATCGGCCCCATGCCCAACCCCATCGAGTCACGCGCCATCTGCGTCAGCTGCTCCATATCCTCGCGAAGGCCGGCGACCTGCTGCTCGAGGCTACGTCGGGCGGTCTGTTCGCGCCGCAGCAGCATGACCAAGGCGCTGTACTGTTCGACTGAGATGGTGCTGTGGTCGGTTAGGGATGTCGACGAGGGGGCTTGTAAGGTACGTGAGCGGTGGAGTTGGTTCGGACGAAGGGTGCTTGTGCTGGAGGGGCGGTCCGGGAGGAGTGTGTCTTGAGTAGGGATGGGCGGAGGCATCTTGTTCGGCCCCGATGATTGTTTGCGACGATGTCGCTTGACGGGTGATGCAGCCTGCCTTGATTCGGCGGGACTTTCACTGCGGTCGGTCTGCAGACGAGCAATGGCGAACTCGAGGTCGATCATCTTGACTTCCAGGATGTTGAGCCGCTGCTCCAGCGTGATGTGCTCGTCCTGTTGCATTGAAGTGACGAGGGTGCCGACATTAGTCGGAATCGGATCCTCGGGCTCGGGCTCGGGCTCATCTTCCGCCTCTGGTTCCACGGCGGCCTCCTCGGGCTCAGTGCCTTCAGGCTCTGCTGGTTCCTCCATCAGAACCGAAGTCTCGGTGGGCAGCGCCGGCGCACTGGCGACAGTAGTTCGAGTTGGTGGACGGTCGACCTCCGAGGGTGCACCATAGGCGGTAGACGCGGCGCAAGACTCCAGACTGCGCCGACGCCATTGGATAGGCGACATCAGATGGTGGTGTTCCTGCGCCAGACCGCGCAGGGCGGCAGCACTCCGCGACCGGCGCTTTAGCTGCTGGCGCTCCCGGCGACGGCAGACATCAAGAGGATCGCTGTTAGCATGAGGACTATTGCCGCGCTTGCTCACAGGACGGCCCTGAACGGCGGCTTCGAGCGCACCGCGGGATCCATCATCCGACAGGATCAGACTGGGAAGCGTGGCCCGACGCCGTCGTGGGTGCGAGTCCAGCTTCTGCAGAGCTTCCGCGAATGAAGTGACCGTGCCATTGGAGGGCGTAAACAGCGGAGGGGAGTGTTGATGTTGTTGTTGAGATCCGAAAGTTAGAGCTTGTGACGGCAAGCATCGTTCCATAGTCGGACTAGTGCTACCTCCCCGTGGTGGCGGAGACACACTTTCATCCCCGCGCGTCTTGCGGGTGAAGATCTTGCGCATGACGGTCTTCAACGTGCTGCCAGTGCGTCGATGGGTACTGGAACCGCGCACAACCACGGTCGGGGGCTCGGCAGGAACAGGAACAGCTCCCTGGCGGGAAGGGCCGCGCAACGTGCTGGACAAGAGTGATGTCTCGGCGGGGCGCGCGCGACGAGTGCTGACGATGAGTTGTTTCGAACTCATCGGAGGTAGGGCGGTGTCATCCCAAGTGTCGGCCATGGCGGACTCTGGCGATGGGGAGCTCCGATGCGAGCTCAAATTGGACATCTAGAAGAGAACATAAGATGCACGGGCACGTGGGAATGTCGGGATGTCGGGATTGCCGCGTGGGATGATGAAGAAAAATGATCGATCAGACGGAAAAGACACGATCGGGTATATAGTCACAGACCGGACAGGGCCGCGGGGGAGAGCGCCACCGTCAGCAGGGAGAAGCAGGAGATCCGGCCGAAACGCTCAAATCATGGTGAGACGAAGGAGCGACGCGAGATAAAGTCTGTTTGTAGAGAGCGAAAGACTATCAAGTGGGGGAAACAGTACGGGAATGAGAGACAGTGGATCGAACCAAACATCAAAATACAGGAGGGGGGAAAGAGAGACTGGAAGGGAGAGAAAGTGGACGCAAAGAAGAAAGAAGGAAGAGGAGGAGGAGGAGGAGGAGGTGGTGGTGGTGGTGCAGGCAGAAGAGGAGCAGAGAAGCAAGCATGTGCCCAAGTGGGCCTTTTTTTACGTTTCAGGGGGGGTATTTTTAGTATCCAACCTGACAAGATTGAAGACTAAACACAAGGCTCTGTATTGTGGACGCAGAGAAGATGCACAGAAGAGCATGATGAGGTGAAGAAGGATCAGCAGGATCGGATCGCGACCGATCCATCGTCCTCGGCTCGTGCCAACACAATCGAAGATGAAACCGTCAGACTTTAGTTGTTGGTCGATTGATTAATGGTGGGTGAATTGAGGAATTGATTCTCAAATGATGGATGCCAAGCGGGCGTGCTCTGACCACTTTTGCTGTCACTCCATCCGAATTGGTGAATTTAGTCTGTTTCAGCCGAGTGGAGCTGCTGCACAAGGCCGAATTACGGAGGATTATGCAGTTGCAGTATTGTTTTTATGACTTCGTCTTTGGCGGGCGGCCTCTCACAAGAACGTCCCTGCATCGGGATAGCGCAGATCAGCCTGTTCTTCTAGAAACTCCATCCAGCGCTTCAAAAACCCGTTTCCTCTATAATGCAGTTGGAGTCTGTCAGCAATCACGGCGAAATCCAACAACCGCCCCCAAATGACTTACTGGCTGATCGTCTCCGAATCACCGCAGATGCATAAGTGTCGCTTCGGCCGCGTCATGGCCACTGGAACGCTCTAGTCAGTGCTGACCTTCGCCAATTAATCTAGAACTTATCTTACCATTCAGCCGACGCTTCTCGGCCAGAAATCCAACTTCACGGGCCTCGTTACTGCGCACCAGGCTGACCACTACTGCCTCCTTTTCGCGCCCCTGGAAGCCGTCGACGCTGCCCAATTCCAGGTCGGGATATTTCTCGCGGAGCATCTGCGACAACACTGCGAGCTGTCCGTTGTACGGGGTAATTACTGCAATATCGTTCGGTTGCACCCCAGCCGCCACCAGGGCATCAACATGCTGCCCTACCACCAATGCCTCCATCGAATTACTCTTGCTTTCCCCCAATAGTTTCTCTGACTTACCTAGCCCCAATTCCTCCGCCGTCTCAGGGAAGTCCCCGCCCTGGGTGTCCCAGAAGACCAGGGGTGCTATCGTATCGTCCGTCGTCTGTACTTCGTATGGCAAGTCCGCCAACCGACGCGCCCGCACGGCGTCAGCTGCTATCAATTTCGACTCGTACAGCTCCTGTGAGGGGAATTGCATAATGGTTTCGTGCATACGATACTGGGTGGTGAGCATGCGTTTGATCCCGGGTCCATGCGTGGCCAGTAACCGGTCAAACAGCGTAGTCTCCAACGAAACGTCGGGCAAAAGATCCTCCCCCGCCTCCGCACTGCTGGTTTTTGTTTGCTCGCGCGTTGATTTGACGGTGGGCGGCAGCTGCAGATGGTCACCGGCCAGGATGACCTTGGACGCCGGGAGCAGCGGGATCCAGCATTGGGGCTCCAGGGCCTGGCTGGCCTCGTCGATCACGACCACATCGAATTTTTGCCCGCGCAACTGATGCCCGCCCGCCCCATGCAACGTCGCCAGCACGACGCTGCTTTCGCGCACCAAGTCCACCACGCATTTCGTTTCCCGCTCGCGGTACTCTCGCCGCAACTCCTTCAAATCGTCGTAGATGGCGCGCCGCTCCCGTCCCGTCCGCGTCTTTCGGATGCTGGCCTGTTTCTGGTCGATCTCGCGGCGCACATCCCGCACAATCCCGGCCGCCTCGGATGTCTGCGTCAAAACCTCGAGCGAGTGATCCAGCACCGCCGGCAGCAGTCGCGCGGGGTGGCCGATGCGCACCACGGGGATCTTCTTGGGGACCAGTCGCTCGACGATGTTATCCACCGAGATGTTCGAGGGCCCGCAGACCAAGACGCGCTGTTTCCGCTGCACGAGCTGCACGATCAACTCGATCAGGGTATGCGTCTTTCCCGTGCCCGGCGGACCGTGGATGAGGGCGATATCGCGCGACGCCAGCGCGAACCGGATCGCCTCTTTCTGGGAGTCGTTGAGCGTAGGATCGGTAAACTCCATGTCCTTGCAGACATCGTAGTCGGGTGTGAGGGGGGTGGTATGTCCGAACGCGACGCGCACGAAGTGAGTATGATCGGATTCCTGCATTTTGGCCATCCGATCCATCGTCTGGTTCATCCTGCATCATCACCATCGCCGTCGTCGCGTCAGCATCTCTCCTTTCCCTTGAACCAACCAGAATTACCCAAGGAGATCTCCTTACCTTCGAAACGTAACATCATTCGCCAGCTTCACACTACGCCCCGCATAAAGATCGCCAGTCAGTCAGCCATCCCATTCCATAATTCTCATCCTCTTCACCTCTCCCTCCCACCACCCAAACACACAAACACACAAACAAAGAGAGAAAGGGGAAAAAAAAACATACAACCAAACCCTCTTCCCCCACAACTCCTCCACTCCCTCATCCTCCTCCTTCTTTCCCCCGGCCGACGCAGCAGCCCCCTGCTGGCCAAACGCAACCCAAACCGCCCCCTCCCCAACTCTGGTGACCACCCCCTCCGGCGCCTTACTACCACCACCACCATCTTTCTTCCCCTTCTTCGCCCCCGCCGACGACGAAGAATTACTAATCTCCAAACACCTCACCACATCCCCGACCCGAATGCCATGCGCAGGGAGCCGTGACCGCCCATCATCCTTCCCATTATTCCCACCCTCCCCTCCTCCCTTAGAGCTGTTAGAGGACGTAGTCGCCGCATCCGGCACAAACTCCCCCACCAACCGCCCGCCCAACCCCGTGCGCGTCTGCGAGAGCACCAGGCCCGTGAGCGCGTGGCCCGTGGCCTGGAGGGTGCGGCGCGTGGCGGGGCTGGCGGCGACGGAGGCGGCGGAGAGGGTGGAGGAGGCGATCTCGAGGCTGTGTTCGGTTTTGAGGCGGTGGAGCTGGGTGGTTGCGAAGGCGGGGATGGGGATCGGCGATGATTGGGGTTTCATTTTGGAGGGGGGGATAGATACGGTTTGCGTTTGTCTGAGAGGGGAGAGGGGGTGGTGGTGAGCTGAGCTGAGCTGAGCTGGGTCAGTGTGTGGTTGTTTGCTGTGGTGGGGGTAGGTAGGCGTGCGCACTGCAGCTTTTGTGGTGAGGGGTGGTAAATTTCTGGGTTTGTCTTGGGCGGGAGGAAGAGACTGTGGTTTTGTTTCGGATGCGATGGGCTCGATTCGGAGCAAGGTGTGTTGCGGTGGCTTGCTGGTCACAACGGTGAGTGAATCTGGGGAATTGGGTCAGGAAAGTGGAGGAAGTGCGTGCTGCAGGATTGAAGAATGATGCAAACACGCTGCGGGCTGCGGGCTGCGGGGAAAGGCCGCGTGAGGGGAGCGATTAGTCATCAACTTCCTCGGACAGCCGTCGCAGAAGGGATGAAGTAGGGGAGGGAAAGCTGGATTCAGTCGCTTCATTTGTGGGTGTTTGCGTCTTTGTATTCAGCTACGATCCTTCTATGAGAGCTTTAGGCGTAGGAGTCGCTTTGTTGACACTTTTTTGACCAGGGTAGTGGTAGTATGGCATTAGTATGGCCGTATATCTTAACCACCTCAGCCATGGGCAATCTAAGGGACCACTCAATTCTATTCTGGATGTGGTCAAGGCATCGGTGACGCCACGAGGGATCGCAAATAAAAATCTATTTGCTGGTTGCAAAGAAAGCCTTTTTTTCATTTGTTATTATGAACAATTACCTTCGGTTACAGACAACCTCCACTTATTAACTAGAGTAGATATTCCGAAGTGCTGAATAATGGACGGCCACCCTCCCTCCACGTTCCAACAAGGTAAAAAGAAAATAGACACAGAGAAAAGTAAGATCAAGTCATATCCACTAAAGACACATTGTCAATGCGCATGCTGTGAGTTCTTCGGACCACTGAAGGGCGCCACTCCGCGAGCCCGCTGATATACGATCTCCCCCAGCATCCGCACTTCCATGTCCTTTGCCAGTTCGTGGTTCTCGGAGAGATACAGACGGTAGTCGCGCAGTCCTCGAAGTTCGAGCATCCCCTCTAGCAGCTTCTTCAGGTAACGGCGCCGGGGCTCACCGGAAACCATCCCTTTCCAGCCCATATCCACAATAGTCAATGACAGGTTCGGGATCTTGAAGTGCTCGCGGATGAAGCGGCGCAGCACCGACCACCAGAGCAGTGTCGATTCGTTGGAGCGGGGCCCTGTGCGAGGAGTATCACGGTAGTGGGACGGAAACTTGAGAATCAGGTGCCGCATGAGCTCCGTGGTTGAGGTCGGGAGCTTGTTAAGGAACTGCAGCATGAACTCCGGGTCTTCATCCAGGAATGCGAATTTGTTACGGGAGTAGAATATCTGGCGGGCGTCCCGATAGAAGTCTCGGCTGACAAGGAAGTAGTTGAGCGGGCTCTCAAGGCAGCTGCAGGAGGTCGAAAAAGCTGTGTGACGGCCACGGCAGAAACAAATCGCCCCAACAGGAGAGCAGGTCAGGCAGCAATTCATCGAAAGAAAGCTGCTGGGTCGCATGGCTTTCTTGCGATCCTGGAGCGAGATGACACCTCTCAGGCTCTCCACCTTTGGGAGGAATGGGTCTGGATGGTCGACCAGGAGCAGCTCCAAAATCATGAACTGTATCTCCCGGGGAAGACGGAAGTACGGAAACTGAGGCTTGACTGCCAAAGTATTCGTCACTCTCAAGGCAGCACGGCGAATCACCTTCTGAGTGTGTTCCTCATAGTTGTGACCAAAGTGGAACGCGCACTGGAGCAGAACTGGGAATGGATTCATCTCACGCATGAGTCTCTGGGCGACCTCCAGTTCGCGCACCTTGCATGTCATACTGAAATACTTTAGGCCGTGCATTTTAGAATGAGCCAGCAGGCAGAAGCTGATCCAGATCCGTAGAGACGTCCTGTGGACTCCACCGGCCAGCTTAAGGTAGCGGTGTTCTCTCGGGCTCAGGTCCAAGTGCAAGTAACGCAGACGGTGGAGTCCCCATTCAAACGAGGATTCAAAGGAATTGTAGTCAGTTCTGCTGGAGAGGGGTGCGTTAAACCGATTGCGGGAGAAGAAAACTGCGCCGGCTTCTTCACGAGTAGCACGAGAGATACTGAAGAGCTCGACAGGCAGTTTCGGGTGATTGCAGTCGCGCTCTATCCAGATCCCTGGACTTGGAGCAATATAATGACGATGATCCCCTTTCAGACAGGTACCGCCATTGTGCTTTCTGCGTACAGCCTCGTATCGGAAGTTTATGACACAGTTCCGCAGCAGTCCAGCATACTCGAGGATCTTGACGCGAGCCACATGCGGGAGATCCATGAACGTGATACGTGGTTTCTGGACAATCACCTCACTTTGAGCAGCCTGTTTCTCGGGGTCGTTCGCAGAAAGCATCCATCCACGTTCAAGGAAAGTGAAGAAGGCATCCTCAAAGGTAGGGAGAATCGCGGCCGGAACATCGATCGAAGCTACTCAGAACCAGACGGTTAGTAGTCTTTTAGGTTGGTAGATAAGAGGAGATATGGAGGCATCAACGGACCCATGATTTCCATCAGTCGAGATAAATTGTGTCCTAGATACTGCCAGGCAGGACTGAAACTACTTGAGGAAGCCCATATGAGATGGAGTGTGAAGGGCGAGGGGAATTGGGTGGTGGGGGACGAAGTATGGAGGAAGCAGAGATGTGGTGTAGAGAAAGCGAAAGAACGGACGCGAAGAGGAAACACGGTAAGTCACGTCAAATCCTCCTACTGCGTGACAGAGTCAACAGAGACAGCAATAGGGAGATGTCGGACTTGATGGGCAGAACACCAGAACAACAGAACAGTCCAAACAGTCCAAACGTGAAACCCCTCAACAACAACGAGTGAAGAAGGTGAAATGTAAAAGACCCGCATTCAATCCATCACTCCGCCTCAACCTTCACCTTTGGACTTCCCCCGCTATCGTCACTAATGAACTGCTGCGGGGCAACACCACTTTCTGCCTTGTATACCGTTGTCTTCTTTACTTTGGAAGCCATTCCTCGAATCTCGCTCTTGCACAACTTCGTCCCTGCAAGGTCACAGTCGCCGCACCGCCGGCCGATAGGTAAGCAGACCGTCTGCCCCAGTCCAACCAGCAACTTGTTAATCTCATGCCATTTGTCCTTTGGCAGCCACGATTCCAGAGCCTTACGAGTCTCCTCCGGAGTCTTCGTCTTGTGCCATCCCCAGAGGTTGGTGATACGGTGCACGTGAACGTCAACGCCAATGCCTTCGTGCTTGCCCCAAGCAGCACTCATACACAGGAATGCCATCTTCGGCCCGACCCCCGGCAAGCTCATCAACTCAGTCGGCGTCGACGGGATATCGGAGTCATACTGATCGCGGAGAATGAGGGCAGCGGCTTTGATATACTTGGTTTTGTTGTTATGGAAGCCCACGGTGCGAATCAGCTCGTTCAACCGTTCCGGCGATACGGCCAAGATATTCTCCAGGTTCAGAGTGCTGTCCTGCATAGGCTCTAGTGCCTTGCTATCATAGTTGTCGTCGTTGGGCTCGGCCTTGATGGCAACTGGAGGTCCATCCCCAAGCTCTGTGTGCAATCGTTGCATGGCCACGGCCGTCACCGTATCCTTGGTCTGCGACGACAGCATCAGAGCAATGAGGGTCTGGAAGCGGCGATCTCGAGGCGACGACGCACGCCAATAGAGCTCAGCGCAGCCCATAGTGTCGACTGGGGCGGTCGGATTGTCCTCGCGCATCTTCTTCACGGTGGTATAGATGGTCTCCCAGTTGGACGGAGGCTCTACCGTGTAGGTGCCATCCTCGACCTTGACCTTTCGGGCAGGCAGGCGGCGGGATCTGGCCGCAGGCTTCTCGAAGACCTCCTCTTTGACAGTGGTTTCAACTTTGAGGGATGTCTGGGTAGCATTTGCAGGCGTGCGCGCAGAACGATTCCGCGAGCCGCGGGCTGAAGGGGCGCTCAATGCGCTCTTCCGCCGCTTGGCAGGGGGCTCCAAGATATCCTCGATATCGACAGTTGGGACCGATGACAGCGACGACGTGTCATCATCGTCGCTCACTGCCTCCGCAGACGCAGGCACAGATGCAGACGCAGATGCACTGGAGCCACCGTTGAAGGCAAAACTGCGCAGGACACTGGCATGAGCCGATGAGCTGCGTGTTTGCCGACGGCCAGGGGGCGACAGGGCCTGAACGACTCTGGCCGTCTCCTTGGCTGTGCGAGAGGTGCGCATGGAGGTAAAGCTGCTGGTTATCAAGATAAACGATGAAAGATGGATGTCGTTTTCGATTTCACATGAAAAGACGGTGGCTAAGCATCAATAAAATTTGTTAGGGCCCCATCAGTCCAAGGAATGCGCAGTCAAGACCACGGGAAGAAGACTGGCACCCGGCGCTACTGAATGGGGAAGACCCACGACTTGAGCCTCGGTATTTTCTTTCCGCTTCAACTCCATTTGAGTGCAGTGCCAGCCACCCGCTGTGTCACATCCTGAAGGAATGTGTCTGTTGGTGAGGGACTGTTTTGGAGAGACACGCAGCGATCGCAGAGACTTGTTTTCCCTTTCAAAGAAACACGGTCAATTTCACACGTCCTCCACACGCACCAAGGGCAAACCCCTCGCTCAGTCAGCGACGCTCAGTCAGCGACGCCGAGCATTCCACCGCATTCCAGCCACTCACCACTCGCCAACCACGCCAGCCAGCAGCCAGCAGCAGCTCGTTCTGCACATGAGAAGCTGAGACAATGGCAACGCACAACACCACCCAGCGTCTCCTCCGGGAACTGAAGGACTACACCAACAACCCCAATGAAGCTCTTCTGCATCTCGGGCCCATCAAAGAGGATGATCTCCTCCACTGGGAAGCCGTCCTGAAAGGTGTGAAGGGCACTCCATACGAAGGTAAGCAAACCCCCATTCCTCCCTCTCCCCCGCGCCCCTCCGTACTTTCCGACAGCCCTCACTCAACTCCCCCTCACAACCTTTACACAATCTAAGATTCTCAATAGGCGGCCTCTGGTCCCTCCACATCACCATTCCCCCATCCTACCCGCTTACCCCGCCCACCATCCGCTTCACCACCCGCATCAGCCACCCCAACATCTCCTTCACCACCGGCGAGATCTGCCTCACCCTCCTGACGACTGAGCACTGGAGCCCCGTCTACACTCTCTCCTCGACCCTCAGCGCCATCCACCAGCTGCTGACGGATCCGCGCCCGGAATCGCCGCTCAACGTCGACGTCGCCGCCCTGCTGCGCGACGGCGATATCCCCGCGTGGGAGAGTGTGGTGCGGTTCTGGACGGAGGAGGAGCGGTGGATGCCAAAGTAGACAATATACCGCGTGGACTGAGGGAGGTTGTTTGGGGTATATACTCGTTGTTCAGGAGGTGAGTGGCTAGGTTGAATGATCGCATCATGCAAACCGAGATGCGGCGCGTCTTTATGGATCATCAAACCGTGTCCGTTCCGGGTGAGGGGACACAAAGAAATAAGAGGGAGGGGATTATCACCATGTCTATACCTACATCTAGACCTATCAATACTTTTTTGTTATGGGGTAGGTTTGTACAGAGCTAGCTACTAGGTAGGTACCTAGCTAGCCTACCCATCACGTGCACAGTGACAGCAAGCAAGTAGGGCAAGTCATTTCACCAGATTAGAGCCATGTTGTTGCGTTCAAAACAATACCCATTTTTCAGAAGGCACTACCAACTATCCATAGCCTGAAACAACTGAGAGAACAAAACAGTCTCAAATTATGTCCGAATGATCCGTGATCCAGGAGTCACTTTTGCAACTCCCGGGGGTCAATGATCGAAGACAACCTGTCTAGAGTATGCACATGCTTTGAACAACATCCATCCATCCACCCCCTCAACCCTCCTCTCCTCCCCACCCCAGATGTTTAGAAAAAAATCAGAATGCGCTAAAGGAGAGACAAAATGTGGGAATACGCCGAGCTAAATGAACAAGTAATGTATGCTTTGCCAGATTCACGTTCACGTTCACATTCACGTGTGTTGTTTTGCATCAAAAGGATCGTAACATGGTGAGAGGTATCATGGGGGCAGCTGAAAAGCTAGCAGGGAAACAAAAAAACGCCGGAAAATGCATTTGCTGGGAGAAAAAAAAAATAGTATTCGGATGGTTTGGGAGTTGTTCATCTTTACAAAGCCATAGCCACCACGGCCGCTCCACCGACCATCACGAATAGCTCCCGGCCCAGACCGTGCGCGGTCGCGGCACCGTTGTCGGTCTGCAGACTCGGGGATCCGCGGGTGCCGGTGGCGACCTCGTGGGCGGTCTCGGTCGGGTGGATGACGGTGATGGCAGTGACGGTGCTCTGCTGGCCGTTGGGCAGCGTGGTGGTCATCTTGTAGGTGGAGGTGTAGGGAGTGGTCTTGGCGCTGGTGGTAGAGCTGTCGTCTGTGGTTTGGGAGTCCTTGGTTGAAGTAGTGGAGGTGGAGGTGGTGGTCTCGAGGGTGGTGGAGGTTGAGGTGGAGGTCGAGGTGGCGGATGTGGATTTGGATGAAGTGGAGGACGAGGAGGAGGTCGAGGTGGTGGATGTTGTTGAGGTGGTGGAGGTCGTGTGAGCTGCGGTAGTATGTGAGCTGGATGAAGTGGTACTAGTGGTAGTGGAAGTAGCAGAAGTAGAGGTAGTAGTAGTAGTAGTAGTAGTGGCCGCGACGGTGGGGATCGTGGTACTAGCTGCGGTGGTGTGAGAAGAGGACGAGGACGAAGATGTGGACGAAGTGGACGAAGAAGTAGAAGTAGTATAGGTCGACGTCGCCGTGGCAGACGACGAGGAGGATGAGGAGGTCGACGAGGTGGTCGCCGTAGAGGCAGAAGAGGAAGAAGAAGACGTGGACGGAGACGAGGAGCTAGACTCACTGCTACTAGAGCTCGACTCACTGCTGCTAGAGCTGGACTCACTGCTGCTAGAGCTAGTCGTAGGTCTCGCAGCGGTCGTGCGGGCAGCAGTGGTCGTAGGAGCGGCGGTAGTTTCCGCAGCAGTAGTGGTGGGCTGTTGTTGCGCACTGCTGGTGGAACTCTCAGCCTGCGAAGCGGTGGTCGCTGCCGCGGCGGCAGAAGTGGTCGCTGCCGGCTCCGAGGCCTGGCTCGTCGTCTCTACCGCAGCCGTCGAGTTGCCATCCGCTCGCTTGACCAGGTTCAAGTGGTCCGCCAACGACGAATCATCCTGCTGGAGAGCTGCGGCAGCTTCCTCGTCAGACTGGAAGATGCCGTGGCTGAACCTCTGGAACAGATGCAGAGCCTTGTGGAGGGAGGTCTCTTCGATGCTGTCGGCGACCGACGGGGTGTCGGATTCGGACTGATCGGCGGCCGGGGCTGCAATCGCAGATAAGGCGATCAGGGATAGGAGAAGCAGTTGGAGCAGGCGAGTTGACAACGCCATGGCGCCTCAGTTGGATATTTCAACGTCTTTATTGATCGAGTGGAATGTTTTTTTGAAGTTGGAGTGGAAGAAACGAAGGTTCAGGGGATCGAAGCGAGAGAAAAAGTGGTCGTTCACTTGGTTGGAGTTCCCAAAAGGGTAATACTCGGAGGTCGATGAAGAGGGGAAGGAGACGGAAGCGGAAGAGAGAGGCCAGGCAGGTTGCTAAGTATGAGTAGGTGTACTGGGCTGAGTAGTTACAGGACGGTGCGTGTGGTGCGTCCTGCAACAGTGGGCTGGCAATAATTGATTATAGTAACGGTTGGCAGCTGATTGATTAACTGCAAGCCACCCGAGATGAGAGTGAAACAAATGGCCGACAAGGCTTGTTCTGCTGCGCCGCCAGTGAATAAATAGTAGCAGACAAAAGAAGAGAAAGAAAAGAAAAGAAAAAAAAAAGAACCTCGATCGCCAGGCAGGCTAGAAAGAGCAGGAAAAAAAAGAATACGTACTAAAGAAAAAACAAGGCAGGTCTAGCTCGGACTTGCGGAGCCAGTGAGTGAGTGGATCAACGAGTGGAAAGACGCTAGAAGATCGAAATACAAGATGGTGCCTTATTTTTTTTTTGTTATCATCATAGAAAGAAAGGACGAAGCAAACAACATCCAGGAAGCAAAGGCATTTTAACAACAGGGAGTGACAGAGAAAGGAACAAGGTTACCCAGATGCATCTTGCACCATGGTTCTACCCAAGTGCGGCGATGCATAGCCTATCCCCTCCGCTCGCGATAAAATGCCCTTAAAAAAGCAACAAAAGTATCCGGATGCAATCCGTGGGAGTCATGGCTTCTCGACCGATTGTACGAGGTCACCGTCAGCCGCGAACACAGGCAATTGGGCCAATGCACACACCAGCTCGCCTGGATTTTATTACCTACACAGAGGGTGTAAGACGGCAGCCATGCATCTTTGGCTTTGGTTGTGTGTCTCACAATCTGTGTGTATACCACCCCGGACAGACACTGATTGGCAGGCAGACTGTTTTGATGATTGGTGTCATGGTGTCATTGCGAACAGTCGGCATTGAATTTAACCTCACTGGCTTGAAAAGGGAAGAATGTTTCAGTTGTTGCGGCCAGTCAGACTGGAGCGGACGATCCCGACCGCTGAGACAAATCCGAAGAACTCCAGGTCGATAAGCAGAATAATGACAACACCATGAGATCAGTCGTGTTGCTTTTACGGTTTTACCCCACCTTACTCTTCACAACCGAGCAGTCATCTCCATCAAGACCTCGGAGTTGGCCACATGATATTTCTACCGAGGACAAAGAATTGAGCTCTGGGGCAAAGTATTCAGTATGGATTTTTTTTTTCTTTCAGCACAGGAGTCTTTGTGCTGGGTCTATCAGGCACCAGGGGGAAAAGGAAGCCCGAACTGGGCCACTTGGTCCGTTCCTCTGCCACCGTTCGCGGACTATCGGCACTACCATCCAGGTGGCCAATTTGCCAAGGGAGTGTGCCTGGCCATCTCTGGTACCTGTCGATTGCTAGGTATCCACCTACACCAATAACTGCTCCCTTTCTTTGAACTCCATCAAGGACCATTCACTTTGTCATCAAATTGATTCTCTCTGAGGCATCATTTGATGCCTCTTCACCTTGCAGTATCGACAGACCGGCTGTCATTGTTACAGCTTCCCGAGCGCCGAAACCCCCCTCCGCATCCGTTGAAGGGCTAAAGGGGCTTAGCTCTTATTAGATTCGGCCCTAGTCCCAGAACGGCTAGCTCAGTTGGATCAGATCTGCTATTCTGGGCAGCGTAAGCATTAGTGGCCATCTCTGATTGGCTCTAATCAGCGCAGTGAGGCTGACCCTTACCGGGACTGGACTAGCGCCCCTATCCTTGTGCTAATCTTGGAGACAGCCGGGCAGTCATTTTGCCTCTTCTACCAGACACAATACGAACAGAAGTTTGTTTTCGACCAAACGGTCAAGAATGAAGCCAAAGTCGGGTCGTTCGGCTCAATAGTCCATACTATAATTATCGGACGATTCGAAGCTAACCGGTCCTAGTCGACGCAGAAAGAATGCCGACTTTCGACGATGACGTCCACGACTACTCCATGTAAGACATGAAAGTGAAGATCAGAGCGAAGCCCATCGAGTGAACTGTGGTCGTACCACTTTCTTGATTGCAGGTGCTCCCAATGCCTGTCTCCGGGTGTTACAAATGATTGCGGGTGTATCCATGAAAACACAACAACGACGATGACGATGAACGACTCAAAGCACACTGTGCAACACAACAACGGATAACGATCTCCATCCGATTCGCATCATGCTTCAAGCTCTCTGAGACAATGCCATCCAAGCGCCCCATCCCGCCACCTTCCCCTCGATCGCGCGCATAATCTCCTCAATCTTCGCCGGCGAACTGAGACCCTGCTGGTCCAAGGTCTCGTTCAGTGCCACCAGCTCGAAGAAGTACCGATGCGGCCCTTGGCCCCGGGGCGCCAGCGGGGCGAAATACACGCCGTTCCCTCCATTCTGGCCGTACTTGAATCCACCCCGCAGCATGAACGGCTCGGTCTGCGACTGGTCGAGGAAGAAATCCGGGTTCTGCACCCCGGTTGTCGCGCGATGGATCCCATAGAACAGGCCGTGGATGACGGCTTCGGCGGTCGGGGAGTCGGGGTCCTCGCAGAGGAGGATATACTCTTGGACGGCCGTGCCGGATGGATAGGGCCAGGACAGGGCGGGGAAGTTGCCTGCGCCCTCGCGTGTGTGGTCGATGTCAAGGTAGGAGCCGGTGGGGCCGAACTCGGGTGATTCGAGGAGGATGGAGGGCCACGGGTGGTTGGTGAAGGCTGGCTGGCTGATGAAGAGTTTGGACCATTGACACCAGACGGTGCTGAGGAGGGTGATCCAGATGAGGGGGTAGGTGGTGTAATGCATCTGGTGTGCTGTCAGTGTCTGCAGTACATGCTGGGTGCTTGGAGGCCACTCACACTTGCTTGCTCGTTTGAGCTGGTATGAGCTGGTACAAGCTGAGCGGATGATGAGAAAGAATGATCGAAATTATGTGGTTGGCGAGGTGAGGATACTTTTGTTGCTCTTCTGGACGCTCTCTTGGGGGAGGTTGTCGGGCTTCGGTGGCCATATCGTGGGCATTCTCCTGCCTCTTGAACCTCAGGTGCAGGAAGTCCTCAGGGAAAGAGCCAGCCGCCACGTAGTGAGAGTTGGAAGAGCAAGCACCGAGCCTGCATCTTCCAAGTGAGGTGAGTACTATGCTGGTCCTGCCTGCTAGATCATGCTGCAGCTGCCCCAAAAATGGCAGGATGCCTTTGCCATCACAGTCGGTGCTGAGCAGCTCAGGGGACCGCCAACAACAGCCAGTGCATTACATCCTTCATTTTCCTCTGGGTGTTCTTTGCAGGCAAGCAAGCGAGGATAAGTATCCCTTATGAACAAAGTAGTACTGCGAGTGAGTCGCTTCGCTTGATCATAAGACTGTCATGTTGACTGCAACAGCTGAGGAAAGTGCAGTACAAACCCTCCAGCCATTGGCCGACATAGCATATATAGATGCCTACCCGAGCCCCAGTACAACAGTATACATAGCATATTAGGCTGCCATCAACAGCATCGCCTAGAACAATCCCGCCCCCTTTCCGCTCGCGAGTCAATAAACTATCAGTATAGTTCACATCGTTTCACCCGGCGACTTTGGCAAACCCATGCTCCTCGGCTGTCGAGCTCTATCCCAGCTTGGCGACCGTCTGCGCCTCAATGGATTCAAAGCATGCTCTTAGCGCATGTCTTGGCCCATTGGCAATACCTTAGAAGTGTCAAGGACCAGGTAAGTCCCGTCCGCGGGCTCCGAGCATGATGGATCGATTTCATGTGGTCCGAGGCAGCATACGCTCGCTCCACTCCTGATTCATTTGTGCGCGACCGGGCGGCTTGAAGGACTTCATATCCTCTAGAGAACCATGGGATTAATTCCGTGAGGTATACCACGTATCATTCCCTACTAATCCACCAAATTCCCAACCTTGCCTCCTATCTAGCTAACTAGATATATATTTCACCTCGCATGTGAACATACAAACCTCACCGGCACCAAACCCCCACAAGTCCAAGAGTAAACACAACCAAACCCAAGAACCAAGCAGAAACATGCTGCCTAAACCTCCCTCGGCCCCCCAAGACCCCCAAACTTCATCAAATGGCAACCCACCCCGCCGAGACGGTCTCGACCGACTAGCCGAGTCCCGCCGCGCTCGTTAAATCTCCGGCCAAGGATTCCGCATATGAGTTTTGACGCGAGCTATCCACCCCCCGTGGAGATTTCGCTCAGTGAGCGGTACTCAACCTCCTGAGTTCTTGGGTTGGTTTTTGTGGAGAACTCCTTGTTTTGTTGGACGGTCGGTCGGGCTGGGCTCGGTTAAGGGGATGGATCAGATAGATGGATAGACAGGTACGGTTACCGGTCGCGGGGAATTGGGTCTAGAGCGAGAGTTGGTGGGACCGTGCTTCGATCTGTGCGTTGACGTCAGTGTTAGGGTTTTTGTGTTTGGGTTGGGGATGGAGGGGATAGGGTGGGTTTTTTTTTCCCCCTGGGTGATGAGGGATTGGAAGTGTAAGCTTTAGTATTTATGGTTGTGGATGGGATTATCTGAGATTGTTTTTGTTTGTGGGTTGGATTGAATTGGGTTGAAGAGTTGAGGGAGTAGAGAAGGTACCACTCCCGACCGGGTTCGGAGGGATCCCTCCTACAGTACATAGGCAGAGCATTCGGTTCGGCAATTGAGAGTACGAGTAAGTTATGTTGAAGTATGTACATTGTAAATTGAAGTATAGAAAAGATATCTTATCTTGACGCACGCGTTCTGCTCCTGTGATTTACTTTCCTACTCTAAGTGCATCATCAAAGGATCTAGTGATAATGGTCCCTTCCCGACATACAGACATACAGATGTCAATTGTGGCACAAGAAGAATCACTGAACTCATCCTCTACCAGTCCAAAGAGCGAAAGGGAGATCAAACTTGGCTCTTCTTCATACGTAAATGCAGGGAAATGAGTCGGTTGGCTAAAATTAGCGAGGGGAGCGCCTAAAATTAGCGGAGGGTGGGTTGAGTGGATGGGGGAAGGAAGGGAATCTTGGGTGTTGTGTTGGCATGTCTCAGCTGCTGCTTCTTGGCTGGGTGACCATACCTGCTCTCCATCCAACGAATGGCACAGGCAAAGCCTTGAGGGCTCTGAGACAGGATACAGAGTCGTCGTAACCCCCCCAAAGCCTATTCTTCTGGGCGTTTGCTCGGCCATCGACGGAGGGAGGGAGGTATTTGGGGAGACCACAAGGGAAAAGAGAAGGGGGAGGTCAGACATGCTGAGGAAGGAACCAATCCTCGAGTCAAACCAGCTCGGAGATGATCTGCTTTCGCACGGCAGGGAAACGGGATGGCTGCATCGATCGGTACCCTGAAGTGCTTGAGAGAGAGGGGGGATCCTCCCCTTCTTATACGTTAACATGATTACACATAGTATAGTATGTTTGGAGAGGCTGAATTCTTTGATCTGGTCGTTAGTGCTGAATCGACAGTTGAGTACTGAGTAACCTATTTTGCAGGGTGTGGAAGTACAGTACACACTGTGTACAGTACAGTGCAATATGTCAAGCCAAGGCAGGGGTCTCACTTCGTTTTCTTTCCCGCCCAGGGACTGGATTTGTGGCTGGACCCACTGGGGGCCCCTCCTTCTTTCCTTGGCCCGGCCGGGGTTCAGGGCTTTTCAGGGCTCCATCTCCACTCCATCCATTCTTTGCGCCCTTCCCAGGTACAAGGATGTCATGGTCGACTCAATTGGTACTGTACCTAGTAATTGAAAAAGACACAGCAGATATAGAAATTCGCCAGAAGAAAAACATCAATTCAATTTAATGTTCTTCAATATTCACATCTTCACCAGAAAATAACAAACCGTTGCACACAATGGAATCCACTCTGCTGTCCTATGTATACCGGTAGTCCAGTCCAGTCCGTCCCTGGCTGGACCCTGATCCTGCAGTACAGTCCTGCGCTGGGGGCGATCTGACGATCGAGACAGCTGATAGGCATCCGGTAGACCCGCCCAGCAATTTCCCACACATACTGAAATCCCTTGGCTGCCTCATCCGGCAATCCAGGCAATGGAGACATTGTGTGACACGCGCTTCTTTGTGGCAACCTGGGTTATCCTTACTGTTTTGAATCTTTGTATGGGGCAGACGGCTCAGGGATGGAGTGGATGGCTGACACTGCCTGCCTTGGGCTGCCCAGTGTAGGTGTCTGCTCTTCAGTTACCCTTTAAGGGTCCTTCGACCCTGCACCACCACCACCCCCTTCCTTACTCTTTCGATTTCTCTCTCTTCTCTCCCCATCATCTTCTTCCCCTGCCTTGGGTTCTTTCCTCCACTATCCCTTCAATCGTTCGCTTTTTTTTTTTCTTTTTCCTTTCTCTCCCCATTTCAAGTCACTCGTTCAATCTTATTGACCTCTTCTCGCCTGCTTTCGATAGCCGCCAATTCTTCCAAGCTCTACCCTCCCATCAACTATATCATACTCTGTTACACAGCAGGTCTCCATTCGTTCCCGAGACTCACCCACCATCCGCCTTGTTTTCTCCCATCAAAGCACCTCGACTCACATAATCCATCAACATGAAGGGCTACGCTATCGCGACAGCCATCACTTTGGGCGCCTCCACCGCTTTGGCTGCTCCGAACCTCAAGGCCCGTGACGACGTGACTCCCATCACCGTCAAGGGTAATGCCTTCTTCAAGGGTGACGACCGTTTCTACATCCGTGGTGTCGACTACCAACCCGGTGGCTCGTCCAAGCTGGCCGATCCCATTGCCGATGCCGAAGGCTGCAAGCGCGACATCGCCAAGTTCACCGAGCTCGGCTTGAACACTATCCGTGTTTACTCCGTCGACAACTCCGCGGATCACGACGAGTGCATGAACGCTCTGGCAGATGCTGGCATCTACCTGGTTCTCGACGTCAACACCCCCAAGTACTCTCTCAACCGTGCCGACCCGAAGCCCTCCTACAACGATGTCTATCTCCAGTACATCTTCGCCACGGTCGACAAGTTCGCCAATTACAAGAACACCCTCGCCTTCTTCTCTGGAAACGAGGTCATCAACGACGGTCCCTCGTCGAGTGCTGCTCCCTATGTTAAGGCCGTCACGCGTGATCTTCGCCAGTACATCCGCAGCCGCAAGTACCGTGAGATCCCTGTCGGATACTCTGCTGTATGTAGTCACGTCATATCACAAGGAAAGGAAAAAAACACGGAAAGACTAACCTGGAATTTGTCTCTCTAGGCCGATATCGACACGAACCGTCTCCAGATGGCCCAGTACATGAACTGCGGTAGCGACGATGAGCGCAGCGATTTCTTCGCCTTCAACGACTACTCTTGGTGCGACCCGTCTTCCTTCACCACCTCCGGTTGGGACCAGAAGGTCAAGAACTTCACTGGATACGGTCTTCCTCTCTTCCTGTCCGAGTACGGCTGCAACACCAACACCCGCAAGTTCGAGGAGGTCAGCTCCTTGTACAGCACCGACATGACCGGCGTCTACTCCGGTGGTCTCGTCTACGAGTACTCGGAGGAGCCCAGCAACTACGGTCTCGTCCAGATCAAGGACGGCAAGGTCAGCACCTTGGATGACTACGATGCTCTCAAGTCTGCTCTGGCCAAGACCAAGAGCCCCACTGGCGACGGTGGCTACAACAAGACTGGAGGCGCCAACCCGTGCCCTGCGAAGGATTCTCCCAACTGGGATGTTGAGAATGACTCTCTTCCTGCCATTCCCGAGCCCGCTAAGAAGTACATGACCGAGGGTGCCGGCAAGGGTGTTGGATTCTCTGGCTCTGGTAGCATGAACGCTGGAACTGCTTCTACCAGCACCGCCACGCCTGGATCTGGCTCTGCCTCCTCGAGCAGTGGCTCCAGCTCTTCCGGCAGCGGGACTTCGACCAGCTCTCCAGGTGCTGCTGCTGGCCTGCACGTGCCCCACCTGACCATGACCCCTGTTCTTGTGGGCCTGGTCACTGTCATGTCGACCTTGTTCGGAGCTGGCATGGTTCTTGTTTAAATAGTTCATCTACCAGTGCATGTTTGCTCATGCTTGTCGATTCTCACCGAAAGCCCTTTTCTTCTTCCGACGGACCCTTTTCTCTTTTTTTTTTTCTTTTTCTTTTTTTTGTCTTCTTTAGAGTCAATATGCAGCCAGATTGGTCGAAGCACTGTATTTGACGATAGCCGATTGCTAGCAGGGCAGATGGCGGATGTGGGTTGCCAACGAAGTGATATTGAAGGCAGCTGTACAGTTGTTTGGTACCTTCATTTTTAGCGCACGTCTCTCTGCATGTAGAGTAGTAATGAAATGATTTATCGAGGAAATTGATGAGTATGACCCTATCGCCGGTTGGGCGGCTCAGCTGCCTGGTGGTGGGACCCGCCCGGAGGCCGACCGAGATTTCCCCTCCCGAGTCACTGCGGACTAGAGTAATTTCCAGACTCCTCCTCTCTCCGTCTTCCGCCATCCATCTTCTCTGACACTTTGTTTGTCTCAGGATTCCGCAGGACGCTTCACTTACGATATCATCCCGGCGGCCAGAACCGGCAATTCCATTCTCAAAACCCGAACAGAGTATCAGGTATGGTTTGATCTTGTCCATCCTCCGGTCCAGGTGCTTGCAGTCGCCTTGCTAAACAGACAAACCCCCCTTCCCCCTTAGGCACCAACGACTGGAGTTGGGAATACTCCAAGCCTCTAAGGTGATAAGACAGCTCTTGGCATCGTCACTATACCTGTCCGATATCATGACTTGGTAGGAACGGCCTGTCGACAATGGGGGCTGTCTTCCACCCACTGGGGACCTTCATTATTCATCCGACGCCTAGAGAGGCCAATAGGCGACGCGGGTTTTGTGATCAATCTACTCCGGCGCGAACTCCTGCTAGGAATCTGTTTGACATAGATGAGCTTGGCTCTTCCAAGGCACAGGGGTGCTATAACGCTCAAACCACCGATGTCTGCTCGTGAAACACACGCCGACTAGGGATGCTTGGCATGTCCCACTCCACCGCCGCTCTCCGAGAAACGCCCAGGGCCCGCCGGATATTGCTTATTTTGCTTCGAAGCCACTCACAGCCTGGGTTCTAGACGGCCATATCGCTGGAAGGGAGCAGACTAGACGCCTTCGAGGTGGGCATGCGTGTCCACAATCAATATCTTCAATGCATTAGTCTTATCCTCTGACCTCCCTTCAATCACCGTTACGCCTCCGCTTTCCTCACACGATGGCCGGCCCTGTCCCCACGTCGGCCTCGAGGAGGATTCTATATGAATGCCGTGGTCCCCCTCGAATTGGACTTCCACCGGCTTTCAAACGTTTCAATCCATTCTCTCTCATTCTTTTCGGTCCTTCTTTTGTTTTTTCTTTCTTTTTCTTCTGGCAATCTCTTTTTTGCCGCCACTCTTTTCCGGGTTGCTGCTGGGCCAGCTTTCCCCCTCAAGGTTTCTATCTCATTCTTCTCACCTTTGATTAGGTAACTTTCCGACCCTTTCTGGTCTATCGCATCTTTTGCTCGTTCTTCTCTTTCGAACAATTCGCTTCAAGATGCGTTCCTACATTCTTAGCGGCGCTGTGGCCCTGAGCTCCGCGCTCGGTGCCTCCGCCGCAGCCACCGCCACTTCCGCCTACAGTGATTCGCTTTCCGGCATGGACTTCCAGAGATGGTGCGATTCTGATACGGGCTTCTGTTTCGGTATTGCGCTGCCCGAGACCGTGGAGAAGAGCTTCATCGGTCAGCTGAGTGTGCCTCTCGACAGCTCTAAGGGATGGGGTGGTGTCAGTATGTCCGGTTCTATGACCAAGGCTCTCCTCATCGCAGCCTGGGCCAACGGCGATTCTGCTGTCGGAACTCTCCGCGAGACCAGTGCCTACTCTAGCCCCGAGGTTTACAGCGGTGATGCCAGCATTCTCGAAATTCCCGAGGGAACCTCCGTCAACAGCACTTTCCTCACCTATACCTTCCTGTGCGAGAACTGCATTCTCGGCGAGCCTACCACCTTCGGCGCCACCGAAGACACCTACTACTTCGGCTGGGGTCTCGCTACGACCAGCCCTACTACCCCCTCCTCCGATTCTTCTGCCATGCCTTTCCACGGAGCCGGCTACGGTGGCTTCGAAGTCTACTTGTCCAAGGCCAAGTCGTCTAGCTACGCCACCTGGGCTGCGAAGGCCGTCTCGAGCACATCCACTGCCTCTGCGTCCGCCTCGGTTACCAGCCCTTCTGCCAGTGCCTCGGCCAGTGTCGTCGCCACGGTCTCGAACACGACCTATGATTACATCGTTGTCGGAGGCGGTGCTGCCGGTATCGTTGCCGCTGAGCGTCTGGCCGAGACCAGCAAGAAGGTTCTGCTGATCGAGCGTGGTGTGGCTCCGACCACGGAGCTGGGTGCGACCGATGCTCTTTCGTGGAACTCCTCGATGACTCCTTTCGATATCCCCGCCCTCGGCAGCTCCCTCACCTCCCTCAACTTGATGGGCGACTACCTCTGCGACGATACGGCGGGTATGGCCGGTTGTGTTCTCGGTGGTGGTACCATTGTCAACGCCGAATCCTTCATCCACCCCCAGGAGGCCGATTTCGACGACAAGTGGCCCACCGGCTGGAAGTGGAAGGACATCGAGACGGCCGCTAACCGTCTCTACGCGCTCAACCCCGGTAGCACTCTTCCCTCTGCCGACGGCAAGCGGTACGACCAGGGCATGTACACTGTTCTGTCCGGCTTCCTGAAGGGTCTTGGATGGAAGTCTGTTGACTCCCAGAAGCAGCCCAACGAGAAGCACATGGTGTACAGTTACCCCTCCTGGGATGTCGGCAATGGTATCCGTGCTGGTCCCGTCCGCTCCTACCTCCCCTTGGTCCAGGACCTTGACAACTTCAGCCTTCGCACGAGCACCAAGGTCCGCCGTCTTGTACGCCGCAGCGCCCGCGTTACTGGTGTCGAGGTCGAGACCAGCTCTGGTGGCATCGAGATCATCAACCTGAATGCTGGTGGTAAGGTTGTCCTTGCTGCCGGTTCCATGTCTACTCCTCGCATCTTGTTCAACTCCGGTATTGGCCCCACTGAGCAGATCCAGACTGTCAAGAGCGGCAACACTGGCATCACCCTCCCTCCTTCCTCGGAGTGGATCAACCTGCCCGTTGGCCAGAACCTTCGTGACCACCCCATGTTCACCATCACCGTCAATACCAACAGCAACTTCACCCACTTCAACACCTCCAGTGTTGTTCCCGGCCCCAGCGCCGCCGTTCAGAAGCTTTTTGCTGAGGGCTCCGGTGTCCTCACCCAGGGTGGCCACCGTCTTCAGTTCTGGACCTCCAACGTTGGAACCGATGGCATTACTCGTTTCTACCAGGCTTCCTGCAGCACCAGCACGGACGGCGTTATCACCATGAAGCTGTACCTGACCCACGGTGCCACCTCGACCGGTGTCCTTGGCATTGACAGCTCCGGTACCACCACCCTCGAGACCGACCCCTGGTTGCAGACTGCCGCAGACAAGGAAGCTGTCACCCGCTTCTTCCAGAGCTTGATCGACGACATCAGCAACTCCACCTCCGGGTTCTCCATCTCCGGAACCTCGACTGCCTCCGGTATCCTTAACCTTATGACCAGCGGTGACCACTTTGTCGGCACTGCGAAGATCGGCACTGACGATGGACGTGTCAACAACGGCACTTCGGTCGTTGATCTCAACACCAAGGTGTACGGTACCGAGAACTTGGTAAGGATGCCCTTCTGGAATCGATGGCATCGCGCAGTGAGCTAACCGTTTTCCTAGTATGTTGTTGATGCCAGTATCCACCCCGACCTGCCCACCGGTAACACCCAGGCGATCGTCATGATTGCCGCGGAGGCCGCTGTGGCCCGCATCATCGCCCAGGGCACGGACACCGTTAGCGCCGCCAGCTCGTCCATTGCTGTTTCTGCGGCTTCTACTGCTGCTGCCCATTATGCATCTGCTACCGAGTCCTCGGTTGCTGTCAGCATTGCGACGGCGACTCCCGAGACTACCGCTGCCAGCGTTGCCGCCGAGGCGACCGCCACTGCTACCTCCGAGTCCAGCTCTGCTTCTTCCAGCTCTGCCTCTGCCTCCGATGAGGATGAGGATGACGAGGACTTGCCCGATTGCGACGATGAGGACGATGAGGAGGAGACCAACCCCGAGGACAGCTTCTCGGGCTCTGTCTCTGTGACGGCCCACAAGGCTGTCGCTACCCAGGCTGGCTCCGGTGCCTCGACCACCACCGTGTGGGTGACCTCGACTGCCTGGACAACGACGACCGAAGCTGTGGTTACCACCACCACTTCGACGGTCACTGTCTGGCCCACCTACGCCTAGATAGGTTTGGGGATGGACTCTCTTGTCGAAGGTGGTTGTGGTTGTATGTACAGTATATAGCCAGACTTTACCTTTCGATTCTCTGTATTTAGACCGACCGAATTTACTATTAGAATATGTGTAATGCACCAGCTCATTGAGTAAGCGTAGAAGTAGTCGCAATTAAGCCATCCTGGTCATGGTTGTATTATGCGAGAAGAGTTGATGAGAGCGAAAGGAAATGGGAAGGGGATGGGTGGCCTGGGAAGGCCTGAGGAATGAAATTGAACGAGAGGAAGTCACATGTTTGGGCGGATTGTCTTTCTTCTTGCTACTTTCTCCGACCGGACGAAGATCAGCACTCTCGCACTCTCTCACACTCACAAGATTGAGTCTGTGTCTCAAGCCACGGACTTCTGGTTCCAACCAGTCGGAGGGTCCCAATTTACTACGAGCTGAGCACGGAGCAGGTTCGATGAGGCACCGATGATGCAAAAGCTCCGACCGGGGAGGACCGACCGAAAGTGCGGCGTGGCCAGACAAGTTTGGAATGGGAAATAAGCAACAACCACTGCACCACTTCGAAATGTCCAATTTTTAAATCACGCAGGCCCAGATTGGCTCGTGCTTCAAGCCGTTGAAGGAAATGGAAAGCTGCTCAGCCACCTCCATCCATCCCGCCATGGCTCGAGCTTTTCCCACACTTGTGCTCTTCGTGCAGCATGGTCTGCAAGCTGCAAGCTGTAAGCTGTAAGCTGTGCGCCGCCAGGGTCTCGAATTTTGGATCTCCAACAAGTCAAGTCCCAACCCAACCCAGACCTTTTCCCTCCGATCATCGATCATCAGGAGCTCGAGCGTACGGAGTAATAATCTCTTCGCAGTCGCCGTTCACCTGTCGCTGCTTAGTGCCTTTGATCCAAGGCAGCAGGAATATGATTGTAACTATAGCTCGTCCCGCGAGAGGATTTTCTGTGTTATTGTTCATTCATTGTATGCGGGAATTTGCTGCACCATTCGGTTTTGCCCGCAACTAAGACGGATGCGGCATCTCGTTACCAACGAATTGTCTCGATATTTCGCTAGGGAAAATCCCTCATGCTAATCGCTGGTTTTTTGTTAGGGCAATTATATCATCATGGACTCCGCGGCCAGCGGGAGAGAGGAGGAGGAGGAGGAGGAGATCGAGAGAGGAGAAATCAGCTAAGGAGGAGTTGGCCCTGGCTCTGGCGCACTGCTGGCACTCCCTTCGGATTACCTCTTTCTCTCCGGTCTAAACTGACTACCTCCAGTATGGTAAGTTAGCAGTCAGAACTTGGGACTTTTGGGTCCATCCAGGAACGGAACCCTCCCCAATCCCCCCCCCAAATTGCGGTAAAATGAGACCCAAAAACCGCGCATGCAATCATTTCCCTTGCACACGAAGCTCAGGACCGACCTACCTACCACCTACCCCCTCCTCCCTCTCTCTCACTAACTACCAGCTATGGAGTACTTTCTTTCTCTACCGAGCTGCCCTTTCTATACAGTCCAGTCCAGTCCTTGCCATCCATGTAGTCGATCCGTGGCTGTGCCCGTTCCCCATCCCCATGCGGCTTTGCCTTTTTCTGTAGTAACGCTCCATCTGGTGGTGTTCATTTCCCCCATCGGCGTCTCTAATCTTTTTTTTTTCTCGCTTGCTGGCTTTCCGGCCCATCACGTATTGTTTGCTCTCACCTATAAATCCTCCCCCCTATCCGCCTGGGAAGCATGGCCGCCTCTATTCCACTTCAATATTCGTCCAAGGGATGCTCATCGACGGTGAAAAGTGGGCCTGTGAAGCTTGCGTTCGCGGTCACCGAGTGACCACCTGCAAGCACCATGGTAATATACATGCCACATGCCTTGTGTGAAGGGTATTCCAATCTACCTGGCTAATTCCACCTCCGCACAGATCGACCATTAATCCACATCAACCGAAAGGGCCGTCCCTTTGCAACCTGCTCAGTCTGCAACTGCACGCCGTGCGAGGCGCCCGAGGACCACGCCAAGCTCAAACGCGAGGCCGACGCCAGATGTCAAGCATCAAAAGTAGAGCCATTCCCCGATGTTCAGCACCAGCATTGCAAGCCCCCCCGCCCCAAACATATACTACAAAGACAACCAAAAAAATCCCACTCACCATCTGAATCTGAATTTTCCCACACACTCCTTCTCCATTGCTCCAGAGAACAGTCTAAGGCTGATGTGGATTTCCCTTTGGCGTCTTGCTCTTTGTTCCAGAGAGCCGCCGGCAGATCTCCTCGTTCCACCCCAGTGGGCTCCCTGAAGCCGATTGCGCCGCGTCCCGCGCCGTCGTCCACGGGCGGTGGTAGCAGTGGTGGTGCAGGCGCAGGATTCCGGCGCGACTCCCACTCTCCCCCGACAGGGGACTATGGCGATCATCGCCCTCGATCCACCATCTCCGTGAGCCCGCCGCCACCTCCACCACCCCCATCATCCCAGCTGTACCACCAGCAGCAGGGTCTCCTCCCCGGTACGCCCGGCAGCAGTCCCATCTACCTGCCCGGCACCAGCACCAGCACCGCCTACCCGTCCCCATCATACTGCACGATAAGTGACATCCCCAGCTCGCTGAGCATGGTCAACCCGCTCGACTTCGAGAACGGGGTCGGGGTCGGGGTCGGGGTCTCCTCCTTCGCAGACAGCGCGTCCGCCGCCGCGATCTACGCCCTCGAAGACCTCGACGTCAATGCTCTGCCCGCCGACGTCTTCCAGGGCGATTGGTCGTGGCTCTCGATATCGGAGGAGGCGGCCCTCCGGGACGAGGTATAACATTTGCAGACGGGCTGGATTTCACTACCGGCTCGTCGACATCCAAAAGAAAGAAGGCAAAGAGAAGCGATTGTGCAAATGTTATGAGTCATGACGTATACGAGAATGATGATGTTTGAGTGAGCATGAGGTAGCTATGGCTGCGTGGGGGGGTTGGGGGGTTGTGTCTGGTTGGGGAGCACAGAACCGTTAGTTCGCCGTGGGGAATCTGTTGATGGAACCGTCTGGGAGGGTATGGGGGTTTTCTGCTGAGACTTTTGGGGTTGGGGGGTATTTGCACCTTCGAATCGCAGCATCTACATATAGATTTGTTGCCCAGTTTGCGCAGTATCTACAGCAGAATATAGGTATATAGCAATACGATATACAAGTCAGCAGATCTTATTTGCGAGCAATGAAGACTACCCCCCGCCGGCAACAAAGAAGGTTAAATGCAACCTTAGGAATATCACCTATCGCTGATCTCGATCTGTCAGTCTCTGTACTCCTTACTACGGTGCCAAGGGTATATCTCTCGCTATGGAATCGGTCCTGTGGTGAGGATGCCCATGGCCACGGACGACATGGCAAGATAGGAGGGAGAGAGGACTGGAAGAATCAGTGAAGGCATCTGTAGAGCTGAGATGGGAAATGAATTGGGAGAACGAGACAAGGAGGCGGAAGGGGAGAATGATTGAGAGGGTCAAGTACAGCTATCGATTATAGCATGCCCAAGCCCAGTTATATAACCTAGTTAATAGTCTGGAGCGCGGCCGGCCTTTCCTAATTCGAATCTCAAGGGTGGAATTCTCCAATGACCGTCACGCTAGCTTCAGACAAGTCCCTGAAACAAAAGTACAAGTTTAGCTATGCTCGATTATGTACAGGAAAAGCAAGGCGCACCGTATGTATTGTGGTATATGTACTGCACCTCCCGCCATCTCACCCTCCAACTAATCTAACAACTAGCGATCCGTGAGCCTTGTCTATTGCCCAAAAGCCAAATGCTACCTCCCTAATTCCTTCCACCTGGACCCTCCGTGCCTGGAATCCCCACGTTCGCTTCCGCCGACTGTCTAAACATCCTGAATATAGTTCGCCGGCACGCTCTTCGTCACGCCCCCCCGCTCCACATCCGCCCACCCATCCCCGCTATCCCGGTTCACCAGCACGAACCGGTCCCCCTCGCTCATACTCCATTCCATGTCGCTGCGGGCCTCGTAGTCGTACAACGCTTCCACGTAGGCCAATTTCTTGGCCCCCCGGCGCGGCGCCACGGCGGGGCCGATGCGTTTGCTGCCGCCTGCTGGCAAGGTAGAGGCCGAGGCCGAGGCCGAGGAGTTGGTTGAGTAGGTCGACGCTGGGCGTTCCATCGGAAGGGCTTCGACGTAGGAGGCCGGGACGAGGCCTTCGTTTCCGGTTGCCGAGGTTCGCACCCGAAGCCAGCCAGATCCGTCTGTTTATGTGGTGATTAGCCTGGATATTCCAGAATCAAGGAGGTGAGAAGATGAAGGATGCGACACGAGTAGCTTACCATCTGGCTCTACAATGACGATATCGTCCCCTTCTTGGACGGTGACTTCGTCATCGCCCTGTGCTTGATACGGATACAGCATCTTACCGCGGGGTTCGGAAGAAGCCGGTTTGGAACTGAGGGTTGGGGTCGATGGAGGACTGTTGATGTATTGCGCCGGCGGTGGCGCAAGGATGCGGTTCCGCTTGGAGGCAGCCGCGGCAGCAGGTTTGGTCTCTGTAGCTGGTGGTGTTGGGGTTGATGCAGGTAACTCGGCTGTGGACGGGGAGAGACTGGTGGCGGTGGATAAGGAGCGGTTAGCACTGACGGCGTAACCGGAACTGAGTGAGTTCATAGTGTCTTTGCGCGTGAGCGAGGGCGCCCCCGTCGGGCCGCTGGATGACGACGGCTCCAGGTCGAGAGTCGGGGTCGAGTTGGCCAGCTCCTGTCGCTCGGCTTTGAGCTTCTTCTTCTCCTCCTTGGTCTGCTCGCCCGGACATTCTGCCGGCACCTTCATCTCGCACTTGCTGTGGCACGTATAACCGCAGTCGCGGCAGTCGAAGCCCTTGGCTGATAGACCCCAAATGCGCTCACCGCAAAGGTCGCAGTTGGTGGGGATCTTGAATGTCTGCGACTTAAAGTTGTGATTGCGCGCCCCCAGCGACAGGTCGCCTACCACGGACATGATGGTTGATGTCTCAACTTCGGCCGTCAGGCGTTTGCGGTCAAGCTCATGCAACGTCTCTTGCAGGAAGAAGATGGACCGGACTACTTCCACCTCGCTCCGTTTGTCCCTGCCCTGCTGGATCGCTTCGCGTACCTTCTTGGCCGCCTCTACCTCTCGTCGCTTCTGATCGGTCTCCACTCGCAGATCGCGCACCTGTGTCTTGCTCTTGCTGAGAAGATTGCGCAGGAAGACCTTGGCGGTCTCGTCGGTTATGAGGGCTTCGTCATCGTGCCAGACCGGGCTGGGCTCGAAGCCTACATTGGCGGGTTCTTGGAGAGGGGTGGTGTTGTGGCGCAAGAACATGAGCGAGTCGAGATGAGGGAGGTTGCGGGGGATCTCGTGCAGGAGATTGGACATGTGCTCCACACTTTTGGTCAGGTAATTCTTGTCCAACTGAGCTGCCTGCGCCCAGATTGAATTCAGCTTCGCTACACGGGTTTCGTTGAGGTCTTGCAGCCCCTGCGAACGTTAGTGTCATAGCTAAGACTGGGCGAAAGAAACCTACATCGAGTAGCTCGGGAACATATTCGTGGTAAAAGCGCTCCTTGAGCTTGTTCGTCACGTTGATGCTGATGAGGTAGGTGTTCTGCTTCTGTTAGTGTGCGATAGGAGCTGTGATTGGCTACATACCTTGACGTTGTTCATTTCCAGAATCTGCTGCTGATAGGCCGCTTGGGCCTTGGACTTGCTGTGGTCAAACGAGCTCTCCATTTTCTTCCGTCGCGCTTCCACCTCCTGACATGCACCGTCATATTTCCCCTTGACCTTCTTAAGCTCGCTGTAAGAAGAGTCCCTTTCCTTCTCCAATTTGGCATGAAAGTCGACGTGGCACTTCCGCAGTTCCTCGTATTGCGCTGCGGCTTGTTTGAGCGGCTCCGCTATCTGGACCACCAGATCCGTGCCGAATTGGTCGCGTTCGGCGGCGTGCGCCTCGATCGCAGTCAATTGCGTCGTCCATGTCGTGAGCGAGGCGCTTTCGAGCGAGCCCGGGGTCATACTTGGAGTATCTCCTACACTCAGCGTGCTGATCTTCTTCGCCTTGCGGTCGTTGTACTTTCTGCACAGCGCCGTCATTTTGGCCGCATATTCCTTCTCGATAACACTGCGCTCTCGGTAGAACTGTTGTATCTCATCCAACCACCCGATGCCATGGGAAACCTGGGGAGCGATGTCTTAGCATGGAGTTTCGCATCGACCGTGGTCGTGGTCGGGTGAATGCGCGCGGACGAACATGCGGGGAGGACATACCCAGTTGTTGACTGGTTTGAAGGCATCCTGTCCAATTTTGCTGTTAGCGACAATACTTGGTTGCTTGCCCTAACTGCAGACATCGCCGTACCTTCAGTTCTGCCCCAAAATGAGGGGCGACATCCGGGGTTGCCATGCTGACGGCTAATCCTCTGCCCGAAGATCACAGCGCAGAAGACCGACGACGGGGGATGCGAAACCAGGGGAAACCGGAATGTGTCGGCCTAAGATGACCCAAGCAGGCGCACGTTGAAACCAGCAACCACCCGGAGAAGAGAAACCTGTTGCGCGACCGGTGCCAATGGCAAGGAATCGGGGCAGCAGCGGAAGAAGCCAAAGTGGACAGCAATCACTAAGGCAAGAGAATTAATGATAGTTTGGAGAAGAGAGGAGAGACGCAGGCAATCAATCAATCAATCACTGCGAAGGGAAGGAAGCGGGGAAGAACACAGCTTAGTTAGGCTGGATGCAGTAAAAGCCACGGAAGATTGCCCGATGACAATACCGAACGAGGCTGTCAGGCCACGTTGGAGCACTACGTCATTCAGCCTGATGCCACTAGAGTAAGGTACCGTACCGTCGATGCCCTTTCACCGCCTACTACAATGGGCATCACGACGTCTTCCGGTTCTCCTTCCTATTCAGGACTAGCGCTGCTCAAAGGCGGTCCGGACTGGTTTTTCCGCCGTCATTGTCTGGTGATGAGCAAATGAGCAAATGAGCAAATGAGCATAGCAACTTGAACACCCATTACTGCCTTATTGCTACCGCGATTGCTCTGAGTCCCGAGTTGGTCCCGAGTAAATCTTTCTCTCTCCTTCTCTTTCTTCTTCGTCCTTGAAAGGATTTCCACCTCTGCCTTGTGTTCGCTTGAGTCGCTGTTTGGAGCCAGCCCTTCGTCGCGCGTCTGGTTTAAATAGAATTACCTACCCCGCTACTCCCCTCCTTCCGGCTGGAATCAAGCAGCCTTTTTATTTTTTTTTTCCCTCACAACACACACCGTCCTCAAATTACCTTTGTCGTTTCACGAGCTTATCATGGCCTCCGACGAACAGCCTGCTGGCGGCTCTCTCGCCGACCGCATTTCCAAGCCCGAAGAACCTCAGCCTGCAGGTATGGACAACACGCGGCGGCATACCTTCCTTCGACCCGGCGACTGTGTCACCCTCCATCGCGGTCGATCGCATCCAGAACCACGCTAATCCAGCCCTCTTACGCAGAGTCCACCGATACCCCCAAAGAGATCGATCAAACGGATGGAGCGCCCGCCGCCTTGGGTGGCTCCGATCTTCAGGAACCCGACTACACCGTGGAGGTCAAGCTCAGCGATCTGCAAGCCGACCCCAACAATCCTCTGTTCTCAGTCAAGAACTTCGAGGACCTTGGCCTGTAGGTCACATGTCAATCAAATCACTGAATGATTCTTTGGGGCTAACACCGTTTGCTCAACAGCGATCCTCGTATCTTGCAAGGATTGTCGGCTATGAACTTCCGCAAACCGTCTAAGATCCAAGAAAGAGCCCTCCCTCTTCTGCTCGGCAACCCCGCAAAGAACCTGGTCGGCCAGTCCCAGTCGGGTACTGGAAAGACTGCCGCATTCACGCTCAATGTCCTCAGCCGCATCGACCTCAGCACGGAGCAACTGCAGAAGACCCCACAGGCCCTGATTTTGGCCCCTACGCGCGAGTTGGCGCGTCAGATCGTGGGTGTCATCCAGGTCATGGGTCAATTCCTCCCGAACCTCCTCATCGGCACTGCTGTGCCTGCGGATAGCAATGCGCGCCCGACCAAATTGGAGTGCTCCGTTGTTGTTGGTACGCCAGGCACGGTCACGGATATGATCAAGAGACGCACCATCACGGCCAACAAGCTCAAGGTGCTGGTTCTGGACGAGGCAGATAACATGCTTGACCAGCAGGGTCTTGGCGATCAGTGCATCCGTGTCAAGGCGTCAGTTTCGCCATTCCTCTTCCGAATAGTGTGATGACTAACAGCTTCGCAGTTTGTTGCCCAGAGATATTCAGGTTGTGCTCTTTTCGGCCACTTTCCCTACGCACGTCCACGAATACGCTTCCAAGTTCGCCCCCAATGCGAACGAGATTACCCTTCAGCATGAGGAATTGACCGTCGAGGGTATCAAGCAATTGTACCTTGACTGCGCCAACGAGGAAGAGAAGTACCAGACTCTTGTTCAGCTTTACGGTCTTCTCACCGTTGGTTCTTCCATTATTTTCGTCAAGGTTGGTGGATTTGGACTCGTGTCACAGGGTTTCTGCTAATCCTCACTAGACCCGTGCCTCTGCCGTCGAAATCGAAAGGCGCATGGTGGCCGAAGGTCACACCGTTGCCTCCCTGACCGGTGGTATCGAAGGCTCGCAGCGTGATGCCGTGATCGACCAGTTCCGTGCGGGACAAGCCAAGGTTTTGATCACCACCAACGTCCTCGCCAGAGGTATCGATGTTTCGACCGTTTCCATGGTCATCAACTACGTAAGCGTTTTGAGTTGCGATCTTCAATTCACGCAAGCTAATTCCCGTGACTAGGACATCCCTGAAATCCACCAGACCAACCCTCGCGCTCCGCGCCAAGCGGACTTCCAGACCTATCTTCACCGTATCGGTCGTACCGGTCGGTTCGGTCGTGTGGGTGTCTCGATCTCGTTCATCTCCAACCGCGACGAGTGGGAGATGCTCAACCAGATCCAGAAGTACTTCAACACCAGCATCCAGCGGATTGACACCAAGGATTGGGACGAGGTGGAGGATATCATCAAGAAGACGCTCAAGAACACCCGTGCCCAGGCCGGCTTCCGGTGATTGTCCTGCCTCTCCCTTGCTGTTTGATAGTCACCGTTCGATCGCCGCGGATTGCTAGTCGGTTGGAGCAAATTGTTGGTTTAACGCCTGGGCTGTACTGCTGTATGGGCTGCGGATGAGTTTTATGAATCTTTCCATGATGGCTGAAAAATTGCACACCACACATATTAATAGATACCAGTTCATATTTGAGTCGCTGAAAACCAACAACCCCAGAATAGATATGCAGGGCTTGAGCGTTTCGATGTAGGTTTTTCTCTGTAATGGACGGCGATATAATGGCAGACATGTGATGCAATATGGAGGTGGGGGGTGTAGGCTAGAATGTGAACATGGACTGAGCCCGGCAGTGTGAATTCTACTGAAACCGAACAAACCGCTTTCTTTCTGCTTTAAACCACTTGGTCCGAGCATGTGGGCAGAGGGCGGTCTTGTTGTCCATTTGACCCTCCGTCTGAATATTGAAGTTGGGGAGAGAGCCCGGGTCCCAGGCGCGATGTTGACAGGAGATATTGTTTTGCCGTACCAATCGAGATATCTTGTATCAATTCACATCAACAACCATCCAGACCGGTCCGAGACCTGGCCAATAGAATTTGCTGCAGCAGATGCTGTAACAGCTGGTGGAACTTGTTGTGATTTGGTTGCTTGCTTCACCGATGCTCGCGCATGTCGGTGGACATCATAGTCCCACGTTTTGTGTCATGCCTTATTGTAGCTGGAGGTTGCGGCCTGCTCGCTTAGCCATCACGTGACTGGTGCTTGAGGCCTGCCATATAGATTTCCCTTCGCGATATCCGCGAAGGTTGGAAGGGCTGGTTCGGCCCTTACATATATAAAAGTCTTATTACTTCCTACAGCCTATTGTATCTGCTTCGGAGATTTTATCGATATTTTTACTACTTTTGTACCTATTAGCTGCTGTTTTAAACCCTTTATATAACCTTATCTACTTTTTTTAAAAATATAATATATATTTTTTATTTTTTTTGTTCTATTTTTTAATTTACTTCCAGTATACTGGCCCCCTTTTATTATACTATATTATCTTTTTTAATATAATACTGTCTGCATCTTCTCTTTTCTTACTTTATTCAATATTGAAATTATTAAGAACTTAATCTATTAGTAACTATTACTCTATTAATATCGCAGTTATCTATTTCTTACGACTGGAAGAGAGTAAATTGAAATGAAGTAGAGGGAAGTATGTTGAGTGGTGGAAAGAAAGAGCAGTCGCCGACGGTACGATCACCGGGGAATTCCGGGGACTGGGGAGAGAACCATTCGCCGAGCCCGCGTCTGGTCATGTGATATGCCAGGCAAAAACATGTCAAGCCAGTGGTTCGGACAAAGTGCTCTACTGTCTCACTACACGTCTTTCAGCTTAAATCCTCCCGGGACTCGATCTTGAAAGACCCCCCGAGGATCCACTCGGCGCGCCACCTGCCGTAACTGGGCGACACTGGCCGGGCCGTAACTGGCGATGGGATCCTGATCCGCGTTGGCGTAGTTGAGGTACTTGAACGGATGGTAGGCCCCCGCTTGCTGGGCCGCCTGTTCGATGCCCGCAATCATCTCGTGGGCCACCTTGCTGACGACCGCGTCGTCCTCCTCGTTCTCCCAGGTGACGCTGAGCAAAGCGATCATCAAGGAGGCCGAGGTGTCGGTGCGATCGGCCGTCAAGCCTAGGGAATTGGCCATGTTGTGGCGCGCGTAAATGGCGGGCGGCAATGGCTGCAGGGACAACGACCAGACGAGTCCCGAGACTTGCTCAATGCCCGAATCGGCCAGACTGCTGTTCCACTGCTGCCAGGTCACATTGAGCATGGAGAGAGTAGAGTAATAGGTGGTCTCGATCCACAATTCCCTGTGTACTCATCCATGGTCATGGGTCAGTCCGATGGCTGCGGGAGGTGGAAGTTAGGGTTGCAACCGTACCGGTAGCCATTGGGCGAGAGAGCGCCTCCTTCGGTCGCCAGCTCCGAGACGGTCGTTACGCCGCGCGAGTCGGACAAGGAGGGGATGTCGGAGAAGCCCGCGAACGCCGCGGGGACCGCAACCTGCCCGGATTTGGTGTACTCCATGTTGTTGGCAATCATGGCCCCCGTGCTGGGCGTCCAGGCGAAGCTGACGATCAACGAGGCATATTCGTCGTAGGAGTCGGCCTCGGTGAATGCAGCCGTGGCTTGCAACTGTGCATCGATGGTGTCGACCGTGTAGTACGACCGCCCCCCCCAGATGGTATGGTTCTGGGAAACGGTGGTGAGTTGCACATGGGTCACCACCCCAAAGTTATTGGAACCGCCTCGCAGCGCCACCAGGAGGTCCGCATTGGCACTGGCAGTCGCATGGACGACAGAGCCCCCGTCGAGGACCACTTCATAGTCGACAATATTGTCGCAGGTCCAGCCAACGCGCGGGGAGAAATATGACATCCCCCCTCCCACGGAGAGGCCGCCCACCCCGACCGGGGCGTCGCGACCTCCGGGGACGATCAGGTTCAGCGGCTCCAGCGCCGCATAAACCGCCCCCCATGTGGCTCCCACTCCCACCGTCACTGTTGACCCATCCTGGCTGACGCTGATACTGTCGAGGCCGCTGAGATCGATGGTCACTCCATCCGCGATGTTGGCCGCTCCCGCGAAGACCCCATGCCCCCCCGAGCGAATGGCGAAGTCCCTGCCGCTACAGGTGTTATTTTCGCTCGTGAGGTAGCGCACCACCGCCGACACTTCAGTCGTGGTGGTAGGGGCGACAATGCAGGCTGGCGAAATGTCCGATTCTTGGAGAGAGAAATACGACGCCAGGGAGGCGTTGTACGCGGCAGATCCGGAAGAGAACGTTTTATTGGCTCCAAGGAGGCCACGAAGCTCGAGGCACTGTGGCGCGGTGAGTTCAGAAGTATTCAGGAGAAAGTAGAAAGGTTGACGCAAATAAATTCAGGGAATGAAGGGATGACGCTGGTCACTCACACAAAGTACTGATGTCGCTACCACCATTGCTTCAATTTCCTATATCCAACCGGCGTCGGGGTGATTCAAAGCCCAACAGTGGGAGACTGACCGAGGGTGTGCTGCGTACCTTATATGCTGCTTGCAAAATCCTTCGGAGAACGAGTCGGATGAGCGGCGGACAAACACCATGTCCAAGGATGGCTAGTTTATTACGGCGTGTGATCGCTCGCTTGATCTTACCGAGCCTGGAAGACGATGGCGTTTCGAATCAAGCTCCTTCGATCCAATGCACTTAAATGGGCACACCGACTGATTCACCTTGGGACATGCATGCAGATCCTACGGACTCCAGTTACAGTCCGGTCCCGACTTTGCAGGGTAAGCAGGGGCAGCAGGGGTAGGGCTCATGTGATCCATGCAGGCTACTGTGGGATTTGACTGGCTAATGATTCGACTAAATCAAGTGGGTTCAAATTGGATTCAGGAGTAGCAGGAGCAGGCTGGAAGCTGGGAAAAGGATCTTTGACCGGGCTAATTTCTCGAGTCCGTGTGGTTCTTCGTTACCGTATTATCCAAGCGTGATCTATCATCATATCATGTTTCCCTTGTTTCCACTCCAGCGATCCCCCACTAGCTGGTTGATCCTGGTGCCTCAGTGATGCGGACATTGAAGTCCTTCTGGAGAAAGATCCCATGACATCGACTGTGCCAGGGCTGCTGGGGTCGCAACGAGACCAGGTCCCACCGCCGGAAGACCTCGACCAGGACTTTGCTCATCATTGTCTGGGCCAAGCGAATACCCAGACAACGGGTACTGCCCCAGTTGAACATCAGCTCGTGGACTCGGTCCATGCGCTGTCGCTGGTCGGGGGTTGCCTCCAGCCATCTTTCCGGACGGAAGACGTCGGCGTCGGGGCCGAAGGCGGGCTCGTGGCGCAGCAGGCCGGGCAGGTTAAGCCCGACGTTCGTGCCCGCGGGGATAAACACCCCATTCAGCGTGTCGCCCCCCGCGGGCACCACGCGCTCGCGCAACGCCGTGATCGGGGGAAACACCCGCAACCCTTCCAGTATGCAGGCCTGCAGGTAAGCCAAAGACTTGGTTTCGCGCTCGCTGACCACTGGGGAGCCCAATTGACCGCGTTTATCGGCGCCGCGAATCTCTTCGGTCAGCCGCGAATAGACAATCGGGTTGGAAATGACGTGAAGCATCAGCGCGCGGATGGAAGTTGCGGTCGTGTCCGATCCTGCGAACCTGTTCGGTTCAGAATAAGATTAATTTCTGTTCCATCGAAGCGAGATAAAAAGCAGAGCAATCATGGGTCATTTCCTACAGGGCAATGGTCACTTCGGAGACCGCCAACGATGGGTCAACCCCATTGCGCAACCACGAGTCCAGCATCGTCTCGTTGATTTTGGGTGGCACCCCCTGCGCCACGCGCGCACGAACCGTTTTCTCTGCCACCTGCACCTGTTAGGATCCTTGTTTCTTTTCGCTCCAGATTACTTACCCCGAGGATTGCCCCGATTCCGTCCTGGTCCTGAGGGGTCGGTAACACCCGACGCACCCACGGGATGCGGGAGATCACCTTAATCCACGTATTCACTTCCGTGAAAACCGCAAACTTCTCCACAATCGGCAGTCGGGTTTCCAACACGTTCTGGAATCCGAAGCAGTCTTCATGCTGATCGACAAACCCCAGCGAGTGGCCCAGGCACAGGTGGCACACCATGTCAAACAGCAGCCATTGTATACTCCGCGCCAGGTCAAATGCCACATGACGGTCAGGGGTCGTCAACGCGTGCTTCTGGATGTACTCCAGCCAGAAGAGCAGATTGTGATCAATGGTTTTTTCCATCTGCGGCAAATCTTTCCCTTGATACTGCAATAAAGGACTCGCGGGATCAGCGTTGAACAACCATGACGAGGTCACGCGAACTTCTTGGGCTTAGTGGCATCGGTGTTACACCGAGGGTCGCGCAATGGGGACATTGAGAAGAGAAGAAGGAGGAGGAAAAAGGAGGAAAGGAATCACCTACCCCCGGCGCCATCTTCGCCCTCAAGGCATCATGCTTCTGCCGATGCCGCTCGGTGATGAGGTTCGCATTGTGAGGATCAAGACGCAGGGCGTCAAACCACGGCCCACGATTGTACTTGGACTGCACCCCCAGGATCTGTCGAAACAGACCCGGATCATTGGTGATCAGGTGGTTGGGCCCAATGCGCACCAGGGGACCTAGGCACGTCTCGGTCAGCTTGGATTTGTCTTTCTCTCCCAGTCTTGCGTGCATCAAGCCAACTGACCGTATTGTCGATTGACTTGGAGATAGACCTCCGCGCAACGCTCCGAGTACAAGGCTCGAAAGAGCCAGAGACGGGTGTAGGGCGCCCACCAGGGTCCAGGGATCTTCCGCAGATGATATGCAGACCTCACCATCCAGACGATGGAGACCAGCATGCCCACCACGGCGATGATCAGCAGGAGGGGCCACGGCTGCCAGTCCCGAGCAAGGGTCTCGACTGCAGTCATGGTGCCTTCCGTCATGTCGATTCTCTGCCTCGGCCAATCTTCTATTTCTGCTTCTTTCTTCCAACAATTGGAAACCAACACTATTGGGGCTCAGTGGACTGCAGGAAAAAGAAATGTTTGGAGCCCTTGCTTGAAGTTCGCACCCTAGAGGATCAAGAGTATCTATATGGTTTACTCGGTGTCTTTAAGCCCACTTGAGCCGCGTCTGCCAACATTCAACTCCATCATTCAGGTCCCCATCTCCTCCCCTCTTTTCTCTCGCACCATCGCGGTTGTCAGCCTGTTTGGCTCTCCTACCGGCCGACACCCGCTATTAGGCCCAATGTCGTCCGTCTTCGGCGGCCAACGATTTGTTCGCGATTCAAAGTACTGGGCTTACACTTCTGCAGCATACCTGCAGCACAAATTAAGCGATGCTATCCACGGATAGCGATGACAGGAGTATTACAAGGTCCCCCGCAGCTTTCTGGGAGTACATATCCGTACTGTGCAATTTTCGTCCAGTCTTGTTCAGTCCGGCCATCGTGAATAGTACATCCATCTGGTATTCGTGGTTTTATACCAAAGTCAGAGTACCAGGCTTCATACATTGGTTTCCGAACCGTACTCTACGAAGGGTAAGTTACAGTTCGAAAATTACGCATTGTTGGATCCCATGCCCGCCGGAGTTTTGTTTTCGCCCCACATTGCATCGATCCAGTCTAACTTGGAAGTACAGTCAGACTGCCAGGTGGACCTCCTGTGCTGTACCCATTAGCCCGTCGGATGCTTGACTGTCCCATCCGTCCGCTCCAGCCTTTGCCTCTTTGCAGGCCACACTGCAGGAGGGACACGCGTTTGATCGTACCAAGATAGCTCGCAGCTAATCCATGATAGCTTACAGGACGATACCACCCAATTAAACATAGTCTAGGACGTTATTGTGTTGATTTGATTCCAGCTTTAGAAAATACAAATTAAAAGCAACAAAGCACCCGATAATTACATCCTTGCAGCCGCAGCAGCGACCGGACTTCCCCGACAAAACTCCCTCCCCTGGTTCACTAGGGCTTACCAAAGGCCAGCGGGCGCGGCTTCCCCCAGGTATCAGACGGTAAGAATCGCCAGGCGCCCGCGTTTTTGCGTCCAAACAGATAGTGCACGAAGTGAGTGGACAAGGGGGGCATCTCGGGCCAGGAGTTGCCTCCCTCGAAGGTCACATCGCGAAGCCCGAGGACCATTGGAGGGACAACGTTCTGATTATGAATCGTGGGATGGGTTAACAGACCACACAACCAATGAGGGGTCGAGGGGCTAAGGAGGGTAACTCGCTCACCTTGTCTTGACGGCCGGCCTCGGCCTCGCAGGCCTTGTAGACCTTGAGCAGCGCGGGCCCATCGTAGGGCGCCATGGACATGAGACTGGTGATCTCGTTGGCCAAGTGCTCTCGGAAGCTGGGGGCCATCTGCTCAATCAAGCCGCGCACGGCTGAAGCTTGATAATCGGTCGGTCGCGTCTCCACCCCATACGCCAAGAGCTGCTTCAGGATGGGCTGGAAGGTATGGTGCTCTTGCACGTTGCCCTCCAGAAAGTTGGGTTGCTGGATCACCCCTTCAAACTGCGGGAACATCTGCTGCTCTTCGAGGGTGTGGTGGTGGGAGACCCAGCCCGCCCAACTGCGAAGGAAGAACAGAAAGTCGGCGATGTCTTGCGGTTGGCTCACTTGCTCGGCTTGGAGATACAAGGCATTCAGCCCGCGCAGCATGGCGTTGTGAGCAAAGGCCATCTCATTGGCGATATAGAGAGCCTCATGCTGGGTCTTGGTGTGTTTTACCACGTCATTAGGTCTTCAGGTCTCCTTTCTGTTGGTGCTGTTTGGGGACAGGAGTGAGGGACAGATCTACATAACTTACAATGTCTTTGGTCTTGGAGGGGGTTTCAATGAGTGGCCACGGACCGTCGGCCCACGGGCGGGAATCACCACTGCGAGGAGCCATCTTTCGCTGATGTTGCCAGTAAACCAAAGTCCACGGGTGAGGTTCCCTGAAATTGGGGGCGCGGTTAAATATTGGATGTGGGGGATGGGGGGGGATGTTCATGGTGGAAGCGAGGAGAATAGGAGGATTCAGCGATGACAGCCAATTGATCCTCTGAGGCGGCATTGGCTGCCTTCACCCCCCAGCGCCGTCTGTGTCTGCCCCCCGATTCGCTGAGGCGCCGCTAAGGCTGCATGTCAGATTATAGGGAGATCGGGGGGGACAAAGAACTAGTAACTTAGTTAGCCGATTACCAAGCAAACTGGCTCGCCGTTAAAATTACGGAGGGAGGTACGGAGTACTGTACAGAGTACTGTACAGAGTACTAGGTACTAAGTACAGTACTACTTTTCAGACAGCTCATTTGGTTGAAACTACGCACCCTGGTCGGCTGCTCTCAGGCTACCGCAGCAAGCGACCCTGGTAGTCACGCAACGCCCCAAACCCCCTAATCTGGAGATGCGGTCCCTTTCTTTTAATCTATGGCGCTTCCCAGTCTCGCCCGCAACTTGGAGGTAGTTTATCCATGCATTGAGCTCGTTGCAAGTGCACCCCCTCACCCTTTCACTCCTCCCGCCGTCCACATCCGTTCACACCCATGGAAGAGGGTCAGCCTCCCCCCCAAAACCCCCAAAAACACCCCATCTCCTTCTGGTTGGTCTTTCTGTCCCTCTGCCTCCTGTCGTTTGTCTCCGCACTCGATGGTGCCATCATCAGCACCGCCTTACCCAAAGTGACCGCCGCCCTGGGCGGGGAGACCGACTACATTTGGATTGCCAACAGCTTCACCATCGCACAGACGGTGGTGCAGCCATTTGTAGCCCAGCTCTGCGACATCTTCGGCCGGCGCGGCCCCATCCTGGTCTCGGTGTGTCTGTTCCTGCTGGGCAGCGGACTAGCGGGAGGAGCACCGACGGTGGGCCAGCTGATCGCCGGTCGCACTGTCCAGGGGTTGGGGTCCGGGGGAATCTACATCTTAGTGGATTTGGTCGTCTGTGACTTGGTGCCGCAACGCGAACGGGGCAAGTATCTGGGGATTGTGCTCTCCTTGGCCGCCGTGGGGGCGGTGCTGGGCCCCGTCCTGGGCGGCGCCCTCGCCCAGGCCAATTGGCGATGGGTCTTCTATCTGAATCTGCCGCTGGCCGGTCCCGTCCTCCTGTTCATGCTCTTCTTCTTGCGGCTCGATGGGCCCGCCGCGGCCGGCCACCAGTCCGCCTACACCGGACTGCGTGAGTCGCTCCGCCGCATCGATTGGGTGGGCAACCTCCTGTTTGCCGGCTCCATTCTGGCGCAGCTGTTAGGGTTGGTGGGCGGGGGCACCCTCCACCCATGGTCGTCCGCATCGACCCTGGTGCCCTTGATTCTCGGATTCGTGGGATGGGGGGCCTTTCACGTGTACGAGTACTTTCTCCCATCGCACCGACACCCGTGCATGCCGCCGCATCTTTTCGCGCACCGCAACAGCTTCGTGGGGTTTGTGCTGGCCTTCGACGCCGCCCTCATCATGCAGTGGACCCTCTACTTCCTCCCGATCTATTTCCAAGGGGTGCAGCGCAAAAGTCCCCTGACCTCCGGAGTCGACCTGCTGCCGTACAGCGCCTTCCTGATTCCGTTTGCCATGGTGGCCGGGGGCATTATGTCGCGCACGGGCATCTACCGGCCGCTGCACGCCACGGGATTTGGAGCGCTGGCGCTGGCGCTGGGGCTCTTCACCCTCCTGGGCCCGCCCTCGCCCCGGGCCGCCTGGGTGCTGGTGCAAGTGCCGGCCGCCCTGGGCCAGGGCTTTTTGGCCACCACCATCCTCCCGGCCATCCAAGCCGCGCTGAGCCCCCAGGACACCGCCAGCTCCACGGGCGTCTACGCCTTTCTCCGCTCCCTGGCCTTTGTCTGGGGGTCCACCGCCCCGGCCATCGTCTTCAACGCCCGCATCGACCACTACGCCGACCGCTTGCTGCCCGGCGACAGCGCGGCCGATCGCGCCCTCCGCAGCCACTTCACCGGCGGCCAGGCATATGGCGCCGCCGCGGATGTCGCCGGGGAATGGGGCCAAACCCACCTCTCCAGCGACCAGCGTCGCCACGTCCAGGAGATGTATCGCCTGGCCTTGAAGACCGTCTGGCAGGTGGGCCTCGCCTTTGCGCTCTGCGGGCTAGTCGCGGGGCTGGCTATGCGCTCCCTCGAATTACACCAGGAGCTGGAGGATACGGGCTATGGACTGAAGACGGAGGAAGACCGGAAGGGGAAAGATGCCGAGGAAAAGGCGGCAGTGGTGACGAGGGCGACGGGGCCCAGTGAGATCGGTCAGTTCAGTCAGGATGAGCAAGTAGGTAGGTAGCAGTACTGTAGTTATCGCTTAGTACGCTAGTAATAGGCACGGTTTGGGGAACGGGCAGACAGAAGAAGACTACACCGGAGGTAACTTAGTTGGTTATAGATTGGCAGGCCTCGTCTGTTGGGTACCCTGGTAGGCTCTGGTGCGTTTTCCTTCATTACCTTACCTTCGATTCTCCTTATCTCCGCAGTTATCTAATCTTTATAATTTGAGGGGCAGTACCATTGGGGGGCCAATACAGCATAATCAGCTTTTGGGTCCTAACTATCTTGTAATCCTTGAACGAAGCAGAAGAATGGGAATGAGAGTGTGTCACTAGAGATAAGATCACACCATCGGCAAGACAATCGAAGAGAAGCCCCAATTCCCAAACAGGATGGAGATGGAAACTTTCAGGACTCTAGCACTCTAAGTATGGTAAGAGTGGGTATGGTGCATGCAATGCACTTAGTGTCCACGTATGTACTGTACTGTACTGTACTGATGATACACCTCAAGAACCGCAGGACTTACAACCCCACCGATTGGATGCACAGTAGATTCCTTTTCATTTTTGTCTCATGTTTTCTTTTTTCTGGCAGGAAAAGAAACGAAGGACCTCGGAATATGTGCCGTCTACCAACAATTGACCCACCCCCTCCCCTCATCCCCCTTGGGAGATTGACTCCACCTCCATCCACTTTTCACACCAACTCCACCCCCTCGATCTGAGCGGCGTTCTTGGATAAATTCGACAAGCTGTGGGAATGCGAATTGGCCCGACCGTGATCGTACTGGCGATAGGGACCACCATCGGCGGCCCCATCCTTGGGGGACGAGGAACTGAAGGTACTGCTATTGCTATTGCCCGTGCTGCCCGTCTTGGTGGTGGCGCTGGCTCGAGACCGGCCTAAGAGACTGGCCATGTTACTGGGGAGCGAGAAATAAGCAAAGAAGCCCGACCGGCCGCGGCCGCGGCCCCGCCTGCCGTTCGTCCTATTGGGATTGTCGGTGGTGTTGCTGCTGCTGTTGCTGCTGTTATTGTTATTCCCGCCGCTGCTATTCGTCTTGTTGGACTCCTTCCCGCGGCGGATCAGACGCCACACCCCGGGCGCACAACTGCAGATGATCGCAATGTTGAGCTCCACCGTCCTGTCGTGGTCCAGTCCTAGATAAGCACGGACTGCATTTTGGCTTCTGCTGTGTTGGGGGGAGGGGAAGGGGAACGTGAGGGGAAAGAGGACAGGGGACAGGGGAGCTAGACTCACGAGGTAACGTCGTATGCACCTTCATTCCAATCCGTGTCGGTCCCCACTTTGAGTTGGACGCGATAATACATGCTGATGCAGCTGGCTATCAAGGCACTAAAGCAAGAGTGGACGGGATTAGCCATACAAACGAGAACAAAAGGAGAAAAACAAAGGGAGTATGAACCACCCACATGCTACCCACGCCAAACACCAAGGCGATATTCAACTTCTTCTGCAGCGACAGCTTCAATTTCCAGATGATGGGCTGCGGCAGGATCAGCGCGTAGGCGTCCAGCAGAATGTTGCCTGCCCCCTGCACAATCGCATCCGGCAGGGCCTTGCTGCACCGGTTGAAGGTGTCGGTGTCAATGAACGAGTGGCCGGGGCGCGGGGCACACACGATGGCCGTGAGCGGGAAGGTATGCATGTACAGCAAGAAGGCCGCCCCCAGCCCCGCCCAGCACGCCTTGGAGAAGTTGCGGTGGAGGGGAGCGTCGAAAAGCCGCCGGTAGAGCACAAACACCGGGGCCCGCGAGAAGAAAAACGCCAGCGGGTTGAACAGGTTCTGCGCCAGCCGCAGTTTCCAGTATTCCGGATCGCTGTACAGCCAGGAGAGGGGGACGTCCCACATGTGTCGAGCCGCGTAGCTTACTGCAGAACAGTTAAGCCAATTGATGCTGGGGGGTGGGGGGGGGGGGGGGATACGTCTTAGGGCGGGGGCGCTTACAGTGGATCAGGAACGCCATATAGGCAAAAGTACAGACCTGCCACACAATCCCAGACCCATCGCATTAGTTTGCTTTCTCCGACTGACGAAAAGGGTCATTGGTTCGTGCGTACCACGGCAAGTAGGCACAGAACTAGGGCAAGGAAGTCACCATGCATCTGTCAGCTTCGCAGTCCAGTGAAGTGAATTGGAGCAACCCATGGAACCTTACCATCGTCGGCAGCCACCTTTTGCGCGCTCCGAAAGACGGAATACATTCGCAGGGAGACGACCACCGTCGTCACCACATAGAAGAGGGCACAAAAGCCCTTGATGGTGGACTGCAAGGAGGGGGGATTGCCGTATAGATCGGGAGTGACCCCGGCGGGTGGGGTTCCCGCCGGAGTCTGAGACAGATCCATGGACGAAAGAGCGGCCGCCATTGAAGATGGATCAGTGGACTATGGTCTGCAGGAAAAGATGGATCCCACCCCTCAGACGATCGGAGAGGCGACTATATACCGCAGACAAGGCTGCATTTGTCATAGTAACTTATACCACAGTACGGTAGCTTTTTGCCCCAAGCGAGGCAGACTCAGCAGAAGACGGGATGTCTAGCGCCAGAGGATTGAGGTGAATGGAGGTGCAAATGGGTCATCGTGGAAGGGGAAACTTCAGTCAGAGGGGCCAGAGTCAGACCGTGATTCAATTAGCAGTTGCAGAGAAAAAGTGGTGTCCTAATTTCTCACGTCATTGGTGCTGAACCAGGTGAGGGGTCCGAAAGGGCCCTGAAAGATTCGTCGGGAAAATCCACCGCGAGTTCTTCAGGGACCCTGTACATCGACCGTACGAACAATTACAATTTGCAAAGCCAATCGACCAATCTCCCATTCGTCGTAATGCTGACCACATACGCTAACTTAGCCTGCGCTAAAGAAACGCACTAAAAGGCCCCGACGAAGTGATTGCGACTGGAAAGTACTCCGCAATCCCCCATCCAACAATCAATATCGTCTTCGCTTCGTGGCTACAGTGCCGGCGAGTTGGTAACTTGGGCGCTGCTTCGGCCGATGCCGATGTTGGAACTGTCATGGCTGGGGCCATTGCAATGCATGGGGACAATTCACTGGGGAGTGAAAAGAAGAATTAAAAGAAGAAGGGTTATGATCTTGGAAGAAGAAATTACTTCCACAGGCTCCTGCTTCAACCCAGTCTTTCCTACGTAGCCCTCTTGTCCTTTCTCTCTTTCCTCCTTTCTTGCCTCTCTCTCTCGTCGCGGGCTTTTCCATTCCTTATCCTTGCCATTATGGACTGGCTGGTCTCGCGCCACACCAGCCCTTTGGGAGCCGTGGAAAGTCCGTTGGTCTTCACCACCATTTTTGCGGTCATCCTGTGGTCTGGCTGGTACCTCTGGCGATTCTATGTCGCCCCCACCCTCTATCCAAATGAACCACGCTTGCTGCCATACTGGATACCTTACCTCGGTGCGCTTTCCTGCTCCCGTTGCTGGTCCAATTGGAATGGTGTCGCTGTTGCTGACGATGTTGGTATGGTTCAATCACAGGCCACACATTCTCATTTCTACGACGCGCGGAGGATGTGTACCTCAGGGCAGAGTAAGCCAGGCTGTGATTCTCCGGGACTTCTCGTCGATCCGCACTGACAGGGTGGTCCTGGGTAGGAAATACTTTGCCAACACCGACGAGCCCTACAGTGTTGTGCTGATGGGCGGGGTCTCGGTCATTATCCGCAACATCAAAGATCTCTCCATTGTCTGGAGAAACACCACCGCGCTGAGCTATGACCCTTTCACCTCGCGCATGCTCATGGCCTTCGGCATCACCCCGCGTCATGTGCGGAATCTCTATGAGCCCGATCCCGCGCGCCTGCTGAATGACGAGAAGACCCGTGAACAGTCCTTGCTGTATCGCGCCAACCCGAAGAAGCTCTCGTATATGCATCTCCAGAGCCAATGGTTCAAGACGCAGCTGCTGCCGGGGGATCACCTGAAGGGTCTTCTCCAAGTCTACCCGGTGTACTTGTCTCGATTCCTCCAGATTCCCCAGCTGCGTCGGGGCATGTCGTCAGAGACGCAGGGTGATGAAACGAAGGCCTCTTCAGTTACGGTCCCATTGGGGCGATTCTGTCGCTATGTCCTGGCGCAAAGCGCCTTTCGCACCTTTTTTGGCGAGGAACTGTTTGAGGTCGAACCGCAATTTGCCCACATCTACCAGCGTTGGGAGGATGCTAGCTGGAAGGTCTTCTACAACATTCCTCCGTTGCTCGCGCCAGGGTTGCATTCGGACCGCAAAAGGACCATCGCGGCCCTAGCGGTATATCTGGACCTACCGGATAGCCAGAGAAAGAACACGGCCTGGATCTTTGGGGCGATGAACTCGGAATTGACGAACTTGGGCCTACCTGCCTCTGATCGCGCCGGCCTCATCATGATGATCTGTTGGGCGTAAGTCTCCATTATCCCATACCTACCCTGGCTAGTGTGATGCAATGCAGTGATGATGGCTATAACCTCCATCTAACCTTTCTGCCTCCGTCCAACCCACAGAATCAACAACAATGCTCACTACATTGCCTTCTGGATGTTCGCGCATATCCTGTGTGATGCGAACCTGAAGACAGCGGTGATCAGCGAGATCAACGCCTGCTTCCCTAATCCCAGCGCCACATCCGGAGGCAGCGCCAGCCCTCCGACGGATGACTACCAGGGCTGCGACATGGACAAGCTCGTGACGGGGTGCCCGCAGCTCAACGCTCTCTGGGCCGAAGCCCTCCGACTCTACAACTTTTCGACCGCGGTGCGCAAAGCCGTGGACGACTGCTCCGTCAACCACAATGGCCAGACCTTCAACATCCGCAAGGGCCAGCAGGTCTTTGGCCCCGTGCGCAACTTCCATCGCACCGACGGCAGCATCTTTGGCGACGCGACCACCGCGTTCGACCACACCCGCTTCCTCCGGGATCCGAAAATCCGCCAGGCCAAGGAGTACTTCCCCTTCGGCGGCGGGCACACCCTCTGTCCCGGCCGCCACTTCGCCGAGCGGGAGATCTATCTCCTGGTGGCCCTCACCTTGCGGCGGTTCGAGGTGACGGTCGTCGGGGACCACCCCACCGTGCCGCCGATCAACTACGACATGCCGGCATTGGCCGCGGCGGCGCCCAAGGGGGAGCTATTTGTGACGTTGCGGCGTTGAAGCAGTCATCGAGCCATTGGAGGGAGAGATAGAGGTAGCTGTGGCTGTGGGGAGGAGGGGGGGGGGGGGGGGTTAGTCTGTTCATGTACATACAGGAAAGCAATCACTAGGCTTGTTGTTCGAATGCACCTTCTTTCACCCAGTACGCGTCAATCGTTTGTTCTTTGTGATTCGTCCTAGTTTACTCTGTTCTCTGGAATATAGGTGTATGACAACGGTTGACATTCCTTTCCACCTCCTTTCTGTTCACATTTCCTTTGATCTTTGATTTCAGTAACTTGATCCATTGTTCACCTGCACCAGAGCACTAACTATAAGCCGTAATTCACCTTCATCCGACGCCAGGGCGGCGGAAGCATAGAATCCCTTTCCCGGCCACCGATCATCATCCATCATCCCCGGCTGCCAGAATATCTATCTAAAACTAAGTTTATCAAAAATAAACCAATAATCAGATTAAATATCTTATCTAACTTTCAAATTTACTTTATTTTATTATCTGGCTGGTCTGCTTAGTTATTTAATTACTCATTTATTTACTTATTCTATCTATTCTGCTTACCCACGCTTTTAATAATATAACTTAAATTATCTGTATTTATTCTTTATTTTAGTATTATTTACCTATAAAGCAGCAACTAAAAAAGAGCTTACATCCTACTCGACCGTATTTAACAGGTGGCTTGAGTACGGCTGAGCGGACGGGAAGCCCTGTTTTCCACACCACACACCCTGTGGTCGTATGTGCTTGGCTTGGTAGTTTAACTGTAAATAACCATCTTTTGATAAAGCCCAGGGGAAAATCGTGATGCAGATGCGGGATCCGCGCCTTAGTCCGATTTCTCCTCCTCCTCCTCCTCCTCCTCCTCCTCCTCCTCCTCCTCCGCCGTCATAACCATGCTAATCGATCTACCGTAATCTCCTAAATATTCCCCCAAATCCTGATCTGTGAGAGGCAAGCCATTAGTGCACTTATTCCTGTGGAGCAGATCTCACAAGATAGCAACTGCCAGAGAACATACAAGTTGTGATACCATAATCGATAACATCATCAACATATTCGAGCTGTGTTGTTCCCATCAGTCACTGGTCTTCAGGAATGACCGATGTCTCTTCCTTACCGCTGTGCCATCCTCCACGTAGTCAAGTAGCGCGAAGCTGTCCGCCCTCAATCGTTGCCAAAAACTGTCCACTAGAAGGACGTCCTCGGAGATTGTCTGTAAGTTCGAATCCCGAAAGGTAGTCAATTTCGACCTGGCTTCCTGGATGATCCTGATCTGACTCTCTTTATCGGTGATCTGGCCCTCAGCGCGAAGAATTTCGTTTTGCAATCCTGTTATTCCGTACCACCGGGTTAATCTTCTCTTCGGATTTGTAGTATTGGGTGGAATACTGACGGATGAGTTTCTCCTGCTTGGCCGAGATGGCTATAGCCGTGGCCGCAACACCGATCACGCCCACAAGCTAAGTGCTACCGGGTTAGCGAAGGAAATTTCCTTGTCTTGAAGAAAGCTTACCCCGATGATGATGGCAGCCCACCCACCGAAGAGTAAGCCAAACAGCGATAGACTACCAATCAACCTCATCACGAACTGCAGCTCTTCGATCTCCTTCTCAGTCTGCAGGATCTCGTTCCGATAGCCTTGGATATCTGCCTGCAGTTGTCGGATCTCCGCAAGGAGTTCCCCTTCTTTCTTCTCTCCCCAGGTGTCGAACCTGGCGACATATGTGTTGAAGTTGGTCTTCAAGTCCCGGAGATCGTTTTGTGCTTCCCCCGCGGCTTTCTCGTGCCGCGCTGTGTCCTGGATGTATATGATTTAATGTGTAAGCGATGTGCCCTCGGATAGAGGCTACGATCTGGTTCGATCGGCGGTTCCGGAGACTTTCTTACCACGAGGAAATTATTTACCAATCGGACTTTGGTCTCCTTGCTGATTTTGTCGTTGTAGCAGCTTGGGATGAGGAGTGTATCAAAGTCTAGACGAGCGCAGACGAGCTTTCAGTGATCGTCATGGGTGGTAACGACACAATCAAGAAGCACACTCACGGCTGCCCATTCCCTTCATCTCGATCGCGACCCGGCTCACCACCCCCAGAATCCGGTCGTATTCCTGTTGCCAATGCGTCAGGGAGAGAGACCCACAAGCCCAAATCCACTTACCACAATGAAACCCCTCATCTCTTCCTCAAACCCAGACTCCTCAATCCGATCCAACTCGACGATCTTCGCATGGATTCTTCGAAAGGTTGCGCGGATACGCAATGCAGCTTCGGTGGCCTTGGTGGCGCTATCCCTCGCCGTGGTCTTGAGAAGCTCGCTCTGCAGCTGGCGGGCCATGGTGTGCTTCAGGGCGTCGAGGTCCTCCTCGCTGTCGACTGGAGGAAACCCCTCCCCTGTGCTATCGGCTAGGATGTCGATTTCCGCATCGTTAAAGGTTCCAGCTACTTCTAGATACTTTTCCGGGGTGGGATTGTCCCCGACGGCGGCTTTGTAGCGTTCTATGAGATCATTGTAGGATGGCGGGGATCTATCGGCGCTGTATCGCGGGGGTGGGTTGTTCAGAGACATGATTGCCACTGGATAGGATCTGAGAAGGGAGATGGTAGGTTTGTCGATGGTTGGTGGTGAGACCAGAGAGAGCTGGGGAGGTTTTCAAACGGTTGAGATGTTGTTGTCCTGGAGAGTGGGGACGAGCCTAACCCCTTCATATATCACCAGAAGAGAAAGATAGGTGGACAGGCTCTGCTAGCACACCACACTCAGGACCAGAATTTGAATTGAAATCCATTCTCTACGTAGTCGATGCTCCCGGAGTCAGTTTGCCAGCTGTCTTCTCCACCTTCCCCGGAGACCCGAGCATGGTAATGACCCCAAATGGAACAGGCCTTCTGCATTAGCTAAATGCTAGGTGTAAAAGCTCCACTCTTACCTTCATGACGTGATCATAGGATTGAGTAGTTAGACGTGGACTATACTTTACTACGTAGTCGACTCTCTGTTCAAAGTCAATTTGTGGAGCAGTCCTAGCTATTTCTCCACCTGCAGAGAGCCGAGAATGGTACAGGCCGCAGGAAAGACATCTTAAGTTACCCTTTGCATTACCCCAATGCCAGACAGTATCGGGAGAAGCCATGGTCTGTGCTGGGCAAACAAGATCGGCAGTATGCCACTTCTAGCCGATGTAGCTCTTAGCCCACAAAGGCGCGTGCAGCGCCAGCTCATGCATATTCATGATATTCTGTACACAAGGAGGCGTACTACAGAGACCGTCTACCATTCTGTTTCTCTCTTCCTTTCTTTTCTTTGTCTCTCCACGTCGTTTCCAGCGTCATGGCTCTTGCAGATGGCTAATGCGACTTGTGGAAAGTATCACACCGACAGAGAGATCTTATCCCGGCCGCCTACGCAAATGAAGGGGTAAGGAGGCAATAGATCGTATCGGAAGGCCCGAACACCCTATCTATAGCACCACTTGCTTTTGGGCTCTTTCTCTATTCACCTCTACACTCCTTGTTCTGCTAGTCTTGTCCGTCTTAGAAGTAATCACCGGGAGAACCGCCCCATATGCAATAAAAAACCCGTAATCTAGCAGCAGGCATGAAATTGAACAGATACCCAACCGACTAACCTAATAACCATTACTCTCCACATACAGCCACCGTAGTACCACTTTCCTTATGGTGGCAAAGCCATTAGCCAGGCTATTACGCAGCCACATGCATTGCACACCTCTGCTATGCTCTTCACGAATCGAGCTCTCTGGGTCTCCCTACCGCATCCTCTACAGCTTTCTTAACACCTCAAAAAGCTAAGCTAGTCAACCGTGACTTCCTTCCCCTCAACCATGACCTTCTGTCCATCAACTGTAACCTCTGGCCAGTCCTTCTCAGTTGACTCCCCCATTGGTTCCAACCGCAGTATGGACTGAGAATAACCCCGAAGTTGCATTGCGATTACCCTGTCTGTACAACATCTCCGTCCCCGGCCACCGGCCAAAAACAGTCAGAACCAAGATCAGGATCAGAGAGGATGGAGGGTCTTTCTTACAGAGATGGTTTTTCTCCGTGTTCTCAAGGTAGGGACGGAGGATCTCTGGGATTTCCTAAAGAGAGAAAACGAAAAGTAAAATATGTTTAGCGCTGGGGAACGCTTTGCATGGCGAGAGAGGGGAACAGAGTGGAGAGAAAGAAACGTACGATCAACTCAGCTCCATCCTCCAGCCATCTGAAAATAGCATGATAGTCTGCGGCCGTGAAACGCCAGAAGCCCCGAAGCTCCCGCATATAGCCATCGATTATATCCACACACTCTTCCAATGTGTAAGGATAGTTGCCTGACTGGGTCATCCGCTGCCGTCTTGCGCGCTCAGCGGCACTCAAGATAAGACTGGTGATCTTAGCTTCCTCGGTGCCGATAGCAAGAAGCCCACTGATCTATGTTGGGTATACGATTGTTAGATTGCTTCCAATGGCGGCCGGGCAGGGGGGGTAGGGGGGGGTCGCTCGCATGCATAGGGTGAGGTCTGGCGAGATACCTTTAGACGAGTGGAGGCACGTCCTGAGATGCTGGTCGCCATTTGCAGCGGCCACGGGGCGGAGGAATCATCCGGGGTCAGGAGCCGTTCGACATTGTAGGCTGTGACACTTGGGTGTGACGTGCCGGCCAGACGAGGGCTACCCATAACCTCCACAAAGTTGTTGATATGCTGGGTGAACTTCTCCTCTGTTTCCCGGCTGACTTTCTCGTGATTCTCGGCATCCTACAGACAATCCGCGGGTCAGGATCCTGTACAATCACGGATACAGGTCGGCGATGTCTTTTTCCTGATGAAATCTTACCTTGAGGACGCGTTGTATGGCTGCTTTGCGTACTCCCACAGCCAGATTCACGTTTGCACACAGCGGAAGGAGGTTGATGTCGAAGTCTAGGAGGGGGAGAAAGGTATATTAGTTTTGAAGCAGAGGTGTAATTTCAAGACAACCACCCACTCTCGGTAAAAAAGGACAATGTCCTCGCAGTCATCCCGCTGTTGATCGCGGTAGGTCTCAAATACTGCCAACCCCGATATTGAAGTCAGAAATGTACACACGCTACAATGTTCCTTCAAGGGCGGCAGTCTTCAAGGGAAGAAACCCACATTGTTATTCAAGTTTCCAATGGCATCGTACTTATTAGCCGACACATAGTATCTCGTGGTAGGAACCGCCAGGTCTTTTGTGGTTCTGTACTCCCAGATCGCCTCCGCGGTCTCCTCCTTGATCTTGCCGTAATCCGGTGTGTCCGAAGTGATAGCGTTAAGAATTGCCTTCCAGTAGCGATCCTTCTGTTCTGGACTGAACTTCCCGTGGCTGGAGGATGGCATAAACGGGATTATGGACTCAAATGAAAGCCGTTCGCCGGCGTCCAGGTACTTCTGGACTGAAGGTTCACTCGCCAGAAGCCTGGCATATTCTGCCTTGCCGAGTGATTCCTCAAACAAGGAAGTCAACTTTGCCTGTTGCTCGGATACTTGGTGGGTCATCTTGATAGATGGATGATTAATGCTGCACAGGCTGCCAGTAGCTCTTAATATGTCAGGGGGTTAATTTCAGAAATTGTTGTATAGCTACTGGAAACTTTACCACACCATCGACAAGAATATATAGACTAAGATGTTGCAGGTTTTACAATGAATAGAGAAATTGCAAAGGTGGGAAGGGAATGGTTGGGGAAAAAAGCATAAGAGCATCGAATGTTGACGTTGACATCAACCGAGCCTAACTCACAGGGCTATTAGACAGGCTACTACCGCTGTAAGCGAGATGAGTATCGCAGCACGGACCAGGATACTACTTTAGTTGTGGGTCCCGGAAATGTCTTTCTGCAGGTTAGGTTACATCCGTCATGCAGACTCTTCAGTGGTATAACGCCAACAAATAAATTCTTCTTTCAAATCTTCACATCGCAGCCATCGGGTGACATCAATGACGGAGTCAACCAGCCTTCTGTGACGATCTCAAGTACTCCGTACTCGGTAGATATCTGCTATCGGACCTATGGATGCCACACATTTCCCCACTTTGTTTCTCTGCTGTATGCTACCTGCAGCTGCCACACCGCCAACATTCCATCTTGCCAATGTGTATCGATCTAGTGGATCATCCGTCCGGGGGTAAAAATAGACGGGAATCAATAATTGCGGCGTAATTGGGAAGTATTGCAGACTGAACCTAATTTCCCCGCTCAATACCTCGGAAATCATTGCCGAGCGACTCTGATCGCCCAAGCTGTCCATCTTCCCAAACTGAAGTCTTTCTGTAGGTCTGGATCGGGATTTTCAAAAACCATACGGGGATGCTTAGCGCGCCGGGAATAATGATATCCCATTTCTATCTGCATCAAGCAGGGATCCAACCAGAATTCTACCACAAATGTACACATGCCACAGTCAGAAAATTTTCTCTGTCTCTTTCTGTTTACTTTTTCATTTCTGTTTATTGATTTCTTGTTTTCATTCTTATTTTTTTTTTTTCCATATGCGCCTAGTCACTGATCTATCACACTGCATGCATCACCATCTGCTGAAAGATCCCTATGCTTTACTTGCGTTGTTGTCAGCCAGCCATGAAGTCACTGCACAGGTCGTCATCACGTCAACCGAATCCAAAATATTTCCAAACCGAAAACTTGGGTTCGAGTGGATTGATGATTATAAAATTGTTGCAAAAGATCTCAGAACACAACAAATCACTACATATCATCACAACGCTTTCTGCCCTCTCACCAGAATCTCTACCCACACCCCAACACCCCATCAAAGAACACAAAACTCACACTATGACCACCGCACCACCATCGTACTCACTCGACGATGCTCCCCCTTCCTACGAGGAGGTCGTCCGGAAATTCGAAAGTCTCATTCCCAGCAACCCCACCGCGACCCAGGTCTACGACGCGGCACTGAGAGGCCTAACCCAGGCCGATCTGGATGTCCTCGTTGCCAACCACGAGGCCAACTTCCCTCTCAAGACGGATCAGGAGAAGGCCGACTTCTCACGCGGGGCCGCTGAGACCTCCTCGGCCGCCGACCTGCAGTCTGCGCTGGAGATTTCCGCCAAAGCAGCGGCGGCCACGGCGGGAGACGTCCGGCTCAGGTTCGATGGACTGCAGTCCAAGCTTGAAAGTCTTGACCTGCGCTGGAATACCGAGTGGGCCAAGAGGTTTGTTGCCACGCAGCAGGTATGTGTGGCCCCGCACCCTCTGACGCGGAATCTGGGGCATCAGAAGGCTTCGCGGTTTGGCTCACGGTTGGGAATAGTCCTTCCAGTCTGTCATCGATGACAGTCAGGCGAATGCCACCAAGACATACAATTTCACAAGGAGTAGGTACCCGGTTGGTTGGGTCCTTGATTCTCAGATTTGTATTAATGGTCTTGTGTCGGCTTTTCCTAGAGCTTGACAATCAGGATATTCTGTACTGCAATGATAGCACCAAGACTCTTGCCGACCGCAAGACCAGAATCCAAGGCACCATCGATGTGAGTGGAAAGCAGCTCCCTGGGGCCCAGGAAAAGCCGGATCATATCCCATCGTTGCTCACTCATCAATTTCTCAATCCCCCAGGCCGCAGCGACTCTGAAAACCGAAAACGGTAGGATCACTACACAGCTGGGCACTGTTTCCACGGATCTGCAGAGCTTCATCTCGGATTTTATCGCTTGGGCGAGGGGCAAAGAAGGGGAGCTGAGCGCCGAACTGGCAAGAATTAAGAGAGAGCTCATCGAACTGGAAGGGAAAATCGCGGAGTTGGAAACCGCGGCTGAAGCCATCAAACATGTCGGTCAGGGTCTTTTGCCCATCATGGAAGGACTGGCGGCCTGTTTCCCCCCCTACGGGACTCTCATCGCAGTACGCACTTCTCCCCGGCAGTTCCTTGGCCGACCTCTCATTCTTCCTATTTGGTTTCTGACCTCTGTCCAATAGATTGGCGGGTTGATCATCGCCGGGGTGCAACTGGCTAGTACCACAGCCCTGATGATTGAAATCGCCAGTGAGTCCAGTCCGCCCTTCCGTAGGACACGATGGTCTATCTACAGCCCGCTGACAGAAGAAAATCCCACAGAGGCCAAGCAGCAAGTCAAAGACAAGACTCGGGAAAGAGATCAGCTCGAGGCTGATCTGGAGCAGATCCGGGAGGCTCGCGAGCAGGTCGAAGCGATGAGTTCCGCCGACCTCAGCTCGTTTGGATCCACCATCTCCTCCATGACGAGTACTCCCAGCGCGGCCGAGACGGTGGCCCAGCAAATCAAGAAATGGCTGGAAGATGGAGCCCCCGAGAATGTAAGAGAACTCGCTTTCTGGAGTGATGCCGCCTCGCTCAGCTCTGCATCCTTTGCATTTGTCCTGCGCCCGTCTGACGTCCGGATCTACAGGGTCGACCGGCCTATATGGGCTTCAGAGTCAACCACAATGCCACTAGTTGTGAGATTGTCCCCTCCTTCATATTTGTCGATGTAGGTCGCACCTGCCCGGAAGCTAATTTGTATGGGAAATAGTTGCCTCAATGGGTAGCTACCTGCGAGAGTACGGACGCGGCATCATGCCTCTCTGCACGAACCCAACACCTATGCCTGAATAGCTCTGGGCATTGTCTGAGATGTGATCTGAATATGTTTCGCAGAGAGAAGATGATCAAACTTAGTAGTTCTACCATTGAATATACATTATAAACTACTATGTACTAGTATATAATAAGAGTCGTTACCTACCCAACTACTACTAACCCCACGACGCCCCCAAGCGAGACCACTTCTCCAGAATATCCAACCTACCCCCGATGCCCCCGATGCCCCCAATGCCCAGAGGATGATCTCATAGATCGTTTTGCGGACGTAGTCCTGGGCCACATAAATACAGATTAATAAGAATTACCGCACCAAATAACGTAAAAAGAGACAGACAGAGTAAGCGTGTATAAATAGAAGATTAGAAAGTCATATTAAATAATAAAGCTGGTAGAATATTGAGATCGAGAAGCGCGAGTATTTAACGCCCGTAAAACAACTTGGGGTAAGTTTATATTTCTGATAGTTGCGGATAAGAATAAAGCCGCGGCCTGCTGGAGTACATATAGTTTCGTATACATTATAAGAATAAAATATAAGAATAGATGTATGAGATTTTATTCACAAGGAAGTAGAGTATTCTAGATTTTATTCAAGATCCTATTATCGCGGGTAGGCTCGATGCTAAATATCTTATTATACTTAAAACTCTTTAATATACACAGAACTGTTTAAGAATACAGAGAAGCTGTTAGTATTGTGTTTAAATAGGAAAAAACTGCCCGATAATATATACAGAAAGCTAGAAGTAGTCTCTTGGAGTAGAGACTGTCTAGGACCGCGGGAGACTATAATACAGTTCTTGGTAATATAAGCAAAGACCAAAAATCTTGTGGTCCGGTTCTGATCCCAAATTTCAGAACCGGGACCGCACCATTCCTAGGCCTAGCTGCTGTAGTGCTTGGTCTTACTACCCTTTCTTCCCTTAATATGGCTATCTGGTCTTTAAGCCTGCATTTAAGATATGCAGCACAGCCAACCGCAGAAAGTATGTATACTGCTCCCCAGGGGTGCTCAGATATCCTTTGGCGGAGTTAGCATCCCCCGGAGATTACGGTGATAAGAATCGAGCTGGAAGATTCAGTGTTTACTAATGCTACATCCTTTTTGAGATAACTGCACCTTCTAAACATCGTAGCACGTTGAAGACATCAACCGGCTAAACGGACATTCGCCAGGTGCATGCGCCAGTCAGCAGCCACGGGGGCCTTATCTGACCGAAGCTCAATTGACGGGAATTAGCCGTACGAGATGGATCCTTCTGGTAGATACAGATCCGACTTAACCACCAAGTATGGCTCTGTTATCCCCGCCTCGGAGTTAACACGAGCCGTTGAAATGTCTCCAGGGCTGTGTTAGCAAAGCCTAACAAGGTGGCACGACCCAGTCACCCAGCAACAATCCCAGCCACGGTCCAGTACAGTGCGCAAAAATCATCTCGGCCCCTCCAATCCCTTCCCCGAGGTGCTCTCCCAAGTGAACCTCGAGAGTTGATGCAATACACACTCACACGATCAAAAGCAACCTGCCACCCAAACCAACCAACCAACCATGAACCCAACCAACACCATCTCCGTGAACAAGCTGGCGGGCACGCGGGTCCTAGTGATCGGAGGGACCTCCGGGATCGGATTCGCGGTGGCGCGCGCAGCGCTCGAGCACGGGGCGAGCGTCTTCCTCGCCAGCTCGCAGGCCAGAAAAGTGGACGATGCCCTCACGCGCCTGAGAACCCTGTATCCAGACCCGGGATCTCAATCGCGCATCGCCGGGGGATGCGCCTGCAACCTCGGCGACCCCGCTACATCGGAGACCCACGTGCGCAGCCTCCTCGAGCAGGCCACTACCACCACTTCCACCACAGGGAAAACTTTCTTAGACCATATCGTGTACACCGCCGGCGACGCCCTGGGGCTCAAGCCCGTGACGGACCCCACGCTGACGGTGGCCGACATCCACGCCGCGGGGACGGTGCGCGTGCTCGGGGCCCTGATGGTCGCCAAACATGCCCGGAGCTACATGCGCGTGTCGGCCCGCTCGTCGATTACCTTCACCAGTGGGGTGAATGGGCACAGGCCGGCGCGCGGGTGGGCGCTCGCGGCGGCGAGTGGAGGCGCGGTGGAGGGGATGGCGCGCGGGCTGGCGGTGGATCTGGCGCCCGTCCGTGTCAACACGGTCAGTCCTAGCGCGGTGTTGACGGAGTTGTTTGATACCTTCGGGGATGAGGAGGCGAAGCTGGCGGCGGTGGAGCGGTACGCCGAGGAGACGTTGGTGGGGGAGATTGGGCGGCCGGAGGAGGTGGCGGAGGCGTATGTTTACCTCATGAAGGATCGGTTTGTGACGGGGACGGTCGTGCATTCCGAGGGGGGGAAGTTGTTGAAGTGATTTTGTGGGGGTTGTTCAAATGGGAGGGGCATCTGTGTATTCACCTTCGTATATTCAAACTATTCTAACACTCTCTTGTCTTGCCGCATATTTAGATCTGGGCCCGATGGAGTGGTCAAATGTAGACCTTGCAGTTTTGTGGAGGCAGGAAGCTGTGGCTGAAGGTGCCTCCCTGTGTATCTGCTGCGTCAGAGCGATGATGATTTGACGAGACACATATTGGGTCTGCACCTAAGAGCTTTGAGTGGAATGAGGCACTTGAATCTATAGGGTGCATTCAACAACAATAAACATAGACGGTACGTAATATACTTGGCTATATTGAGAGAGCAAGATGAATACGAATTGAAGCGGATACGTTACGTTAACTAGGCATTGTAGTCTCGTATTTAGCTAAGATGCCCTATAACGACGTCCATCCAGCCCAATATCCTATGAATAGACTTTGTCCCAGATGCATCACACGATGCTCATGCTGTTCCCGATCCCGAGCCTTCAGGTCCCTGCTGCTTCGGCTCCTCCAGGAACGAATAGCGACCCTTCCTCTTCAGATCTTTAGCTTTCCAGTCATTCGACGTTTCTGGGAACAGTTCCAGGATTTCATGTATACTTGTGTCGTGGGCCGCCACCACAAACACACGATCATCCGCATCGAACCTCTGAACGGCCGCAAGGGTCTCGCGAGCAGCAGCCTCTTTCTCCAACGACGGCGCCTCGCTGGGATGTTCTGACTTGGGACGATTTGCCCTTGCGTGGAGCGCGGCACCAGGGCAACTGCGACTCAGCGCGTGCACATATACGGAAGGGTCAGAGGGTGAAGATGTCTGCAGTACCGAAAGCTGGTCGACGCTGTCCCCTGCGAAATAGAAGAAGGTGTCCTCTGTGGTGCGGCACAGGGCGTTCAGGTGACCGAGGGCGTGTCCTGGCGCGGAGAGGAGATAGAAACTGCCATCGCCGAAGTAGTCGAGCGCTTTGAGGCCTCCGATCTCCAGGTTGAACTGCGACGGTGTAAGTCCTTCCACTTTCCGACCGAGGAACTCGCGTGCCGCAACAGGAGCTTCCTTTACGGCGGGCCGACCGGGGTAGAAGGCCTCCTTGATTCCGGGTCCAACAACCGGTTTAGTACGGGAGGGGAAACGGGAGGGTCGTCCGACGTGATCGATGTGTGCGTGACTGCCAGCAGGTAAGACATCAGGGCTTGTCCACATCGGCTGACATCGAAAGGGGGAAGGGAAGGCCTTTGGGGAAATGCATCCATACCTCCAGATAATGGCGTCAACGGTGTTGAGCGCCGCGCCATGCTCCTTCAGGATATCCTCAACACACTTGTCAACTCGCATATCGCCGCCCATTTCTCTGCCAGCTTCCATAATATGCAGGGGAAGTCGAACATGTCTTTGGAAATTCCCAGGTCGAAGATGACATTGCACCCTCTACCAAAGGCGTCCGTATGATGGACGATGAATGAAACGTGACAGCAGTCCGCTTCCCCAGGCCCTTGATTGGAGGACCCATGGATTGCCATGTTGGTATCAAGGGGGCGTATGTGATGTCGATGATTGAGACTTGTACCGTTGACAAAGAAGAGGGGATGTTCAGGGAGGGTTGACTGCCCATTTTCCACGCGTTGATCGACTAACACTTTGAGCCTAGATCTTGGTTGATGGTTTCATCCGCGGGTCCTTCTAGTCGGGTCTCTCACAAGCTATAAAGTTTAGGCAGTGTCAGTACTCTTTTGCTTACGTCCATGAAGAAGAGCTCTCACCTGGGTTGAGCAGTTGATCCGTATCTAAGGACGTGGGGGAGTAACAGCAGCACCTCCTTTCAGATAGCGAAGTGAGATGCTGTCTCCGCGGGTGGTGGAAGGTTGAAAGATAGGGTGTGAGCTGAATACTCGCGACCGATGATCAGCTCTCCAAATCATCGTTCATGATTTACTAGGTAAGTACCTACATTCACTCGCGGCCCAGGGGCTTCTTCACGGTGGCTTCTTGGTAATTCATAGTTCGAAAGTTGAGCCCCACAGGGCCATTGTATTCACATAGCACCAGAGTTAATCCGGTACCTGAGATTGGGACAGGGGTTTGCCGGGTCTTTCAATTCGCCGTTCAGCACACAATAGACCAGTTTGTAATTATCTTGGCATGGGGAGAAAGCGAAGTGAAGCAGATATTCGGTTGTGCCACACGCAGAACTCACTACTAAATTGGAAAACATGTCAATCAGAAGATTCGATTTGATGTATCAAAATTTGTATAACCTATAGACTCTCCCGCTAGTTTTGTTTGATATTGTAATGCTAAGGCTTTTAAGCAAGCAGGAACGTTCCTGACTGTCATGTGGGCTGTTCTCTTGGTGTCTACGGTCTGCCGTACCGCTGTCGATCGCTGTTCGACCATCCAGCGCACTCATCGTTCATATCATTTACCTTGAAGATTATATGAAGTTCGATGGCAATTTACATTCGGGATTAATACATCAAGTTCGTAACCTAGTAAGAATCCAATTCATATTTAATCTATAGAAGATAAAAACGATGTTAGAAATGATCTAGTTACCGCCGATGGGGCTGAGAGTTACTCCAATAATAGTCACTGGAGATGTAGAGGAATAGTCTCAAGAACAATGATCTAGTATTGCTACCAACGTCTCCGGCCAAGAGTTTCGGGCGACCGACCGACTGGTTTTTGAGGCGAGGGAAGCTTTGGAATGAGGGGCTGGTCATCCGCCCTGCTGCCCCCATACCCATCGTCATCGTGCAGGACCAGCCCGGATCGCGCCTCTCACCGACTTCCTCCCCGATGATTTGTTGGATCTCATCTCAAGGCTAGCAGTAGGCTTGGTTGATAAAGAGATTAACAGGGGGGCAGGGAGGATAAAGGTTGTATCAGTGCTTATCAGTGAGCCCTGATCGTCCGGGGTGGAGAAGATAAGGGAAGGTCCGCAGCCATGATAAGCAACAACCCAGGTAGGATAAGATAATAATCCAAGGAAGGCAGTGCGGGGGGGGGGGAGGAGAGTAACTAAGTTCCTTACTGTAGTACGAGACAGGGCAAGAGAGAAAAAGAAAACCTAAGAATGAGAGAAAGCCTGGATCCAACCAGGCAAAGCAAGCATTGGGGCCCAAGTCACATGCACCCTGGTATGCCTTAGCTTTCATTCACTGGGTGACAGCAAGCAGCCTGATCGGTCGGAGCAAAGCTACAGTTGAACTTCCCTCTTCTACCTACCTTCCC